GGGCAGTGTCTCAGAGCAAACACTCACATGACTCCATGAGAAGATCTTCCCACTGCAGTAAATCTTCAAATGATGAGGTCACCAGACATCAACTCAGAGATCTCAATAATTGCTAGTTCAATATACACTTATACCCAGGATTTGGGAATGTTTAGGGACTGAAGGCAGATATCAGGTCCAATTCCTTTCTCTACCTTCCCACCTTTGACATACCACAGCCAAATGGAGCCCTACATAACCTAGACCTAGGGGCACTTACACCTGTTCCTTGGCCTTTCAGTTTGGTTTCAGAGGGCTTGGCATGGTCAATTGGTTGGATTTTTAATTATCATAAACTGTATGACTTCAGGAGGGAAATGGAGACACTGTTCCTTCATATCTTTCTCTTAATTAAAATATAGGTATTCCCAAATTTCTTCTACTCTTTTGTGTTCTATAGCATAGTTTTCTCACCACCTTTAATCCAATTTAAATAAAATAATATTGTTCATTTCTGACATCTTTAATACTGCATGCACTTCTAAAATTTTGTGGTCTTCTCTAAGAACCTCAGTACAAGAAGTAGATTCCAGAAAACAGAAGATATAGCCCTCCAAGCTGGGTTATTCTGGAAACCCAGGGTGAAAAGAGGGTGAATACAAGTACTATGTACTCCTCTGCCAACTTATGTCTTGCTGGGTCAAATATGAGATCTTTGAAGAGAGAATAGCACATTGGGGATGTATATTATGTGACTTTTAGTCAGGCAACATTTAATAATGAATTACACAAAAAATGAAATATTTCTAATTAAAATGTCTGATAGCTGGTTTAGTAAATGAGGTCCATGTATTTCCTTTCATATGAAGTTTCACAGTTGGATGATCACCACCACGGATATTTTTCATCCTCTTTTTTTATAAAATACAATGTTTCTGCAATCCAGCTCTGGAGTCCCCAGCACAGGAGGAACAGGGACCTGTTGGAGCACACCTAAAGAAGGGCCACCAAGTGATCAGAGGGATGGAGCACCTCTCCTGTGAGGAAAGGCTGAGATAATTGGGTTTGTCAGCCTGGAAAAGAGAAGGCTTTGAGGTGACCTAATTGTGGCCTTCCTGTACCTGAAGGGAGACCTTCAGATGAAAAGATGGAGAGAGACTATTTACTTGCACCTGGAGTGACAGGACAAGGGGGAATGGCTTCGCACTGAAATATGGTAGGTTTAGATTGGATATTAGGAAGGAATTCTTTACTTTGGGGGTGGTGAGGCACAGGCATGGGTTGGATGGGGCTCTGAGCAACCTCATCTAGCGGAAGGTGTCCCGGTCCATGGCAGGAAGGTTGGAATAAGATGATCTTTAAGTTCCCTTTCAACCCAGGCCAGTCTATGATTCTATGATTACTGAGAAGTTGTTCTTCCATGTGATCTCCATTCTAAACCTATCCTTTTGATGCAGTGGGGAAAATAGCTCATGGTCTGTTTCCATACCTTCGCAGCAATCTTTTGCTTTGGTTATCTATCTCCCTCTCTGGAAGTCTGCACAGGGAAAGGGACAAACACTTGAGACATCTGAAAAGAGCTGCCAAAAGAAAGCAGATTTCCATTTTGTTTTGGTAGGTCAAGGCAAGTCTGTGGGGGTGACAAAATGTTTTCCCACAGAGAGCTGGTTATTAATGTAATGTCAGGCTTTAAGTATGTTTGTGAGAGTCTGGGTATTAGAGGAATTATCTGAGCACAACATCCCCTCTCCTCCTGTGTCAGCAGTCTTTTCATCCTGTACTGGAGACTGATCAAGAAAGGAAATGAAAGCAGCCCAATAAGGCTAGAAAACCTGTGGAGCTGCAGATATGGATGCAGTATAAATGACCTAAATTGTGAATCTGTTAGATTTCTACCCTGTCAATGGCCTATTTCTTTAAAAATTACCTAACCTGATGTTTCCTTTGTATGGCTATAGTAATAACTATTAAAACCTCAATTATCAAAATTAAATAAGTTGTCATCTTTCTTTGGGTTTTACCACACTAATAGAGTATTTGCCTTTATATAATTTAAAGTATTTTTAAATCATGTTGTATTATTTTATCATAAAGCTCATAAGTAGTGTCATAAAACTAGAATTTCGAAAATAACATGCAACTGATTTTATTAGTTTCAACTGAATAATTTAATTTCTTTTTAATTTTGCATTATTTCCTTGGGTGATTAATTTTTTGCTGCAAGGTGTCCATGACCTGTGAGTATCCACAACTTGCAGTAGATGGTAGTAAACTGTTAGTAACAGTGTCTAATACTCACTCTTTTCCTGAGTGGATCATACCATTCCACCAGTTTAGTCATGTAGCAAACCAAGCAAATCCAATTTTCAAGAGTCTTATCAATACACAAAAGAAAGTAAAGTGAGAAGCAAATTTTAGGATTATCCCAAAAATTAAATGCAACTAAGACTGCAGAAGAAGGATGAACAAGAAAAGTAATTATATGAGGAATAAAAGTAGAAGCAAATTAAGTCAATGTCTAGAGGGCAGTTTGCAGTCACAGGATGTGCTCGTCATTAAAAGGCATAGAAACGGCCTGGAATAAACTTCATAATGTTCAACCAAGGTCAACAAGTCCAAAGTTCAGCATCTGGGGTGAAATAACCCAATGTCCCAGTACTGATTGAGCCTGACAAGCTGATAGGGATGTCTAATTGCTGCCTTCAGATATCTAAGGGATGATTGCAGAGAAGGCAAATGGACTCTTCTCAGAATTGCAAAGGGAAAGCCCAAGAGGCAACAAACACAAATTGCAGCAGCTGATATTCCAATAAGACACAGAAGGGAGTAGAAAATCATTGTGCAGGGAGTCAATGAACTTTCTACTCTTCTGGGCTAATCTCTTCACCATTAGAACATTAATTCAGAATTTAAAATGCAACAGCATCTTTGGGTAATAGTGTTAGTCTTTTATTAATGATATATAATGTCAATGATACAAAAAGTGAAATTATGCAAAATGTGACAAACTAATCCTAAGTCCATCAACACAAAACTCCTCATATTTGTGACAAAAAAAAAATTTGTTATGAATAAGACAGGACTAGACTAATATTGTTTCAGGCAGCATGGAAAATTGCAGTGATTTAACCTTGTCTGGCTGCCAGATGCCCACCCAGAAGATTCCTCAGTGCCCTCCTCAGCACAGCAGGGCAAAAGTGATTTACAGCCATCCTCAAGTGGTGCAGGGAGATGAGGACTGAGGGCTTGTGGTCAGTCCATAACAGCTCTCTGTGACTCCCTCCTCTTCACATTCTTCCCCTACACCCTGCAATGGCACAATTCTGCTAGGTGTGAGATTAACCTAATAGGTGTAGCTGAGAAAGCGAATTATTTAGAGACATCATCAATTTATGTGATATAATCAGTGCTCAGAAAGATGTTGAAAGTTAAACCCCTTGAAATTAAGGATATTAAAATTATTGCTGAGAAAGCACAAAAAGTTACGACACTACTATGCCAGAGTTCAGCAGTGCTCAGCATTACAAACATGATCTGGTCATAAGTATGCATCTATATCTGCACACATTTGTATTCATGTATGTGTGTGTCTGTGATATACAATATATACAAAAGCAATTCCTACTCTGTCTAGCATGATGACCCACAGATCTAATCCATTTGCAAGTTATAGTCTCTGTTTTCTCTTGCTCTGTAAGGGCAGTATGGCTAAGCTGCAATGAATTCTGTTTTAAAAACTTTGGGTTTAAGTAAATAATTATTTCTTTTTAGTAATGTGAAATATTACTATATTGCTTTTATTGTGGTATGGTATGACACTGAACTGAGGTTCCTGCTGTCAGGTCAAGATTTTGATTGGGATTTAGTGCTTTATATCCTTTCAAATGGCAATTCTTTCAAATACCATAGTTCTCAAAGAGTGGACAGAGAACTGCTGTGTCATCCAAGAGTCTAATTTCAAGACTTTCTCATTTCTTCCCAATTTATATTACCTCCATTTCTGCCAACGAACAGTTAGGTAGAGCTTCTCTCTTCCAAAGATTGACTCAGAAGTTTTCCTTTCCTTTGACAGTCAGAAATATGTCTGGTGTGCTCAGATTCTCCACAAGGAAGAGTGTCATACCACAAATCTGGGTTTAGCACTCTGGGTGAGTCAGAAACAGTAACTCCCAGGGCTCAAAACTTTGAATCAGTATGGCTGCTTTACTTTTCTGAAGCTCAAAAGTTTTGACATATTAAATTTATAACCAAATGGTTCCACTGGTTGCTACACTGCTTCTCTAATTTACTCTTGCTCCACTATAGCTGCAGCTCTCACCATCCACAGAGCTTTAACTTTATCAAGGACTTGCATCCCATGACACATTTATGCCTGGCAAGAAAATATAAAACAAGCATGCATTTCATAATGTCTTCTCTGATTAGTTCTCCAGTTCTGTGGTCAAAGAACCATGTCTTACACAGATTAAATTTGTGCTGCTGAATTACTGTTCAGTGCTGAACATGTTGCTGAGCTATGGCACATTACTAAACAATTCATTTCCCAGCACTTCCTTTATAAATGAAATTACATCTAAAGGAACTTTTTAAGCAGAATGAGGAAAGATACGGCTTTCACTGTTGTCCTTATAATTACCCTTGTGAGGAATTATAAAAAAGAAAACTGTATAAGCAATACATTTGGCAGCAATATTTTATATTGTCACTTAAAAATACCAAATTACAAGAAAAAGTGCAAATCCAGTGACCAACCTTACATTTCTGTGGGTTTGCTTGTTCTTCATCTGAGACAAGAATCTTCAGTGCTTCCCCTCTGAGTGGATTTCTTTTCTTCTTATTTGCATATCCTGTGTATGATTATTACTGCTCAGGAATGCTATAAAAACCTATGTCAGTGAAGTTTTATGATGTAATTCATTTACAAGCATCTCCTATAAATATCTGTTTGTGTGGATTATTACTTTCCTTCTCAGGCTGTGTCTTTTGTCAGTCCTTAATTCACACAGATTTTTGAGATAGAAATGAAGGCAAAAAAATTATCTGATGAGAAATATGTTTCTCTTAGTAGCTATGAGATTTTCTTTACTTCTCTGCTTGCAATTTTTGTATGTGTTAGTGTTGGTCTGATTGTACTTTCTTGGTTATCAATCCAGGAGCTGGAACGAGGTAAGTAGCCAACCTTTAGCTACAGACCTTTAGGAATTCCTTAGACTTTGAAGACAGTGCTCTTACAATTGTAGTTGGTTGTTTTTTTGGGTTTTTTTCATGCTATGTTTTTAATGCTGGGGGCAGGGGAAGTGGTGTTTTAGGGTTTATGTGTTTTCCTCTCCTGAAAAATGATGTGAACAAAATAGGGGGGAAAGCCAAGCACTGGAATCATGCTCTGAAGGCATGTAAAATAATTTTCATGGTTTAGTCTTGGGGAAAGATCTCTAAGATGCAATCCAAGCTATCAAGCTTGGGTTATTCCACCATATTCATGAACTAGTGAAGGTAATATGGAAAACTGTGAAATTTTGCCTTTTTCCCCATGTATGAATTTTGAATCAGAATAAAAATAATCCACTGAAAGACTAATAATCTCCTAGAGTTTGTGGGGCCCATCCCTTGGAATCTATTAATTTCTTTACTTAAGAAATATTTTTAAGTCATTTATTGGTGTGAGAGAGCTCCTGCATCAGTCAGCTGCCTGCCCCATGTAAAGCTCAGGTAAAGTCACTCTTAGTCTTTATTCAGTGCTCAGAATGTGCTGGAAGAAGTTACTGATACTCAAAGCAACCTAAATTGAAATAACAATATTTCATGATTTTGGAACTAAATGGAACTAAAATTTTTATTAAGAAATCATGTGGATATAAGTTATGTGGGAGGGCCACATCTGGAGGACTGCATCCAGTTCAGGGCTCCAAAACATGTAAGGGATATGGAGCTACTAGAGAGAGTCTCACAGTTTATTTTTGTTGCTGAGGAAATATTCTGCTACATTTATGACTTTGCTGCTTTCATTAACCAAAAACCCATACTATTTCATTCTGACAGCTAAATTTTCATGAAGACTAAACTTTCTGTAAGACTTTTGTTAAAAAAAATAAAAACAACCAACCAAAACCATTATGTCAGAATTCCATGTTTGTTCCTTCAGTTGCCATTGTTTTTGTTTCCTGATCTTAAAAACTGCACCACCTACCAACTTTCTTACATTCTTACCAGAATGTTATCACACTCCAGTAAAATAAAAGGGTGTATTATTGAATCTAGAGGCAGGCTTTTACTTAATGCCTTTGGTTTTAGAAGAAAAAATAGGAAAAAAAAAAAGTGTAAATATATGATTATAAAATATTTTTAATTATAGTTGATATATAATTTAAAAAAGCTTTTGCTATTTAGAAGTATTTTTAACAGATTTACAATTATTTTAAGGACAAGTCTCAAAGAAGCTCAAAGCAGTCTGCTATCACTAGTTGATATTAAATTGGTGTCATTATGCTATGCCTTCCATAATAAACTGTTCATTGTAGTATTTATTGCTTATCTGCTGTTATGATTCAGTTGTTAAATTTATTAGAAATGCCTCTGCCCAAATTAACATGCTAATGAGACCGTATGCCAAAGTCAATAGTATGGGTTTTATCTAACAGTAAACAAGAGAGAGATTAAAAGGAAGAAATAGGAAAGAGGGGATTGGAAGGGGAGAGTAAGGTGGAGATAGATTAAGTAGAAAATATCAACTCTCCATGGATCCCGATGGCATCCTGTTGATCTTCTTGGTGGTGAGGGTTTCTTGAAAAACACAGAATCCAGTGGGTTAATATACGTTTGGGCCAGGTGGGAATGCCCAGGTTCCTATTAGGAGGTGTCTCCAGGGAAGAGAGAGCTTTGGTGGTTGCAGCTTCTTTATGAAGTTTTGCCATAATGAGCAAAACTCCTTCATAACAATGTTTAAGCCATGAGTGATAATATTTCAGTCTCTGACATCTGCTTTTGTCTTAAAACTTGTTTTGATGTTAATGCCTTCAAACACAACCTAAAATACCACTGGTACTGCAACTAGTAAGCAAAAGGCATTTCCTATCAATCAGCTTTAATTCAGATATTTTCTGAGAATTTCCAGTGCGTTACTCAATGAAGAAATCTTTTTTTAATGTATAATGAATTCCTTTATGTATACCTCATGTCCTGTAGCATATTAAAGTCAAGATTAAATTTGCAACAAGGACCAATTGTCTAATTTTTTTATAAATTCTCCCAGAATTTCATGTATGTTTTGACGAGAAAGGTCAGGTCAAAAATAGTTTAACAATTCTGACACTGGATGTTTCCAGGGCTGTCATTGAAACCAGTTTACACATATAAAAAAGGGCACAGCACAAATACACAAAGTCTGAGGCAATAATTCGTAATATTTTTTTAACCAGAACATACAAAATACTAATAATTCACTAATTGCCTTCCTGTTCATCTCTGTCCCTTGTGTTAGACATAACTGGGCATATCATTGTATCCTTTATGCACTCAGTGTTGCAGGAAAACAACATCTAAAACAAAATTGAAAGTAATGAGAACTAAGGACAAATATAATTAATAAAAATATTATTAGCATTACAACTATTGTAAACATTAAAAAGTATATTTTTTCTTTAAACTGAGCACTAGGCAGAACATCTCTGATTGCAAAGCAGTAAAAAAACCCTAGAAATTATTGTATTGATGATCCGTGTGAAATAAAATCTAATGTAATATTTTTCATTTACTTCTATATAATTAAAACACCTTTTTTTTTTTTTTCATTTTCTAGCTGAAGCAGATGTGAATACTCATGGTTATATGGGAATATTAAAAATAGTCTCTGGCACATCTTTCACTTCCACCTTACAAAACAGTTCCTCAGTTGATTTCAAAGTCCTTGCCTTTGATGTTGAAAAATTGGTAAGAACCTATCAGCTTGTGGTTTATTCAAGAGTATTTGTAGGTACATTAATTCCTTAACATTAACTGCTGTTGATGATTTTTTCTTTCCAAAAAAGAGCTATTTCAGGTCCTAAGCCTGGTCAGAACCCAATATACTCCTTATCTGAGAAAATCAGTGACTCATCAAAGAAATACCTTGCTTCTGTAGTCTAGAAAAAGTTATTTAGTATTGAAACCATGATTATAGTGTGAGAATGGGTGTATTTTTAATTATTGAAATTGATTCAAGATTTCTCTTTTTCATATAGATACAGAATATCTTTCAAGAAAGTGATCTGAAATACAAGTTTGAGAGATGTGAAATCTCCCAGTTCAAGTAGGTACAGCTTAATTTAACTTTGAAAATAAATGTCAAAAGTCCTTACTTAGGTATTTCTCTCAGAAGTATTTACCTTGATTATCAAGATGTCCTTGGGAACCTCCTATATTATGCCTTTCACATCTTACATCTTCCAATGTGCTCAGTTTGTCACCAGTGTGTTTCCTTGGGCAAACTTCCTTCTCAAATTGATGTGTGTCCCTGCCTTGACTAAACCAGTAAGGCTGAGCCCTAGCACCCACCCAGAAATATTCCATATTTCAACGAACTGCTGAATTATTTTTTTGCCAATGTGCTGTTTGCAGGGTTGCTGATCCTTGCCATCTAGAACAAATTTCAGGTTAGAGATCTCCTGACATAAGTCTGGAGGCTCAGGCACTCATATGTCCCTATGGATACAGATCCACTTAATTCACATTCCTTAGGGTGTTAACAAGTAAGGCTGTCATTTGACACCAGGAAAAGCTGCAGCCTCTGTGTCCTAAAGATTCTGTGAATCTGCTTCATTTAGTAAAGCTCATTTTCAATATGCTGGGGTGTTAGTTGTCCTACTGAAGGCCAGCTGACTAAAATGCCCAATGTATGCAGCCAGGTCTGTGGTGTTAATTCCATCTGCACTATTCTAAATAAGGTCCTGATTCAGCAAAACACGTGTAACACTGTCTGTCATTATTAAACAATTCCAGGACATGTCCCCATCCTGTCCAAAACATTCTAAACTCAGTGGGAGATATGTGATGTTGGTTCTGGTTTTTCTTTTTATTGTTGCTTCTTTTTCTACAGGAAATCTGAAGATGACCATGGCAGATTGACATCAGAAACCGGGTAATTGTGTATAAAAAAGTTTACTTAAAATATAGGCAAGAGACAATGATACTACTAATTTAGACAATTCTTCTGTGGACTGTAAATCAATTAAAAAAAAAACCCAAAACAAACATTTTTAGAATTTAGATAAGGTCCTCTAAAGAGGATGAAGCTTCAAGACATATATTTTCTCTTAAAACTTCCTTTAGGATTAGATTTTTAAAAAGCGATATTCCCTGGGACTGTCAATTTAGAAAGAAAAATGGAAGAGAAAGAAAGGTAAGAAACTATCTAGAAAGGAAAAGATATAGGTTTGTGCTGAGTTTGCTCATGTAAAACTGCTTAAACTGAGGTCAGATCTCATGTCACTGCCAGTAACTCAAGTTTTAAATCAACAGAAGTCTAATGACACACTGTGATAGGCAAGAACAAAACAGAGGATGAAAGATTGACTCTAGCAGAACTGAAGAACCCTGAGAAATGAATGGTGTAACTGGTGTCTCATAGGTGAACCCAGAAAATTAAAGTACACATTACATGAAAACAGATCAATAGTTTTGTGCTACCACATGTTCTCGTGATATCAGTGTAAGTACAAAAAGTTGATAAATATGTGGAGGAGATTAGTTTATTTGAATGGCTGTCCTTGAAAAAAAAACCAAACAAGATATTGGGGTATTATCTGACCATGAATATCAGTAAGTAATGGGAAGCAGGTTTACATTGGAGCAATCTTTTGATTGAAATAGTGAGGACATATCCCTATTAGCTAGAAAGCAGAGTATGATGACTTTATGAAGGATTATATAACATTAAGGGAATGGACTACACAGCACTAGGAGTAGGCCCCTCCCAAAGTGTTGTCCTTGTAAAAGTAGATCCAATCAGGAAATTTGGGTTCTGCACAAAGAAAGGGACCATTCTCATCAAAATTTGGGCATCAAAGATGGAAACATCTCTGAGCAGTTTGGTCAAGACTGCCTTTGTAAGTTCTGGGTTTTTAGTTTTCTCGTCTGGTCAATTTAGATGCCTTTTAGGAGACCAATTATGCCAAAGAACAGCTAACTTCTTTCTGTCAGCCGAAATGGGAACCCAGATATCTGAACTGTAAATAACTGTGTCGGCAAAACTCATCCCACCACTGTATCTTAACACAATAATCATAGAAATTGCAGAAAAACTGCTGGTTTTGAATGTGGGATCTTGTTTTTATACAACAGTAAGGATCTGTCTTCACTTCTGCATCCAATAACTTTGTCTCAGACATTATTTTCTTTTCATTTAAAAAGTGTTTACCCCTTCAGGCAATCTGCTTGGCATTTCACCCTTGAAACGCTGCTGCTGAGTCACAAGGACAGCAATAAAACCTTTTGTTTGCTCAGCATGGCCTATAGGTTATCAGAAATATACAAGAAGGAGAGCTTTTCGACATACTGCAAACTACAAACTATGCTCAGCAAAACGACAGGATTAATCACTCCTTACAAAGAGCACTACTGAGTCAGTTGCAAGTGGGTAGTTTAAGGATAAAAAAGTTTACGCCTAAATTTAAGTAAAGGAGAAAAAGTTTATCTTTGGCAAGTGTCATACTTCAACATTACCTTACTCTAGCTGCAAACATAAAACTTCATAATAGTCTCTAGAAAGGATGGAGAGAACAAACAGAAAGCACTCTGGATAAAATTCATAGAAGTTAAATGTAGTATAACCACAATTTCTAAATATCTCTGTTTTCAACCATCATTGTTTCCTTGTGAGAATCCAGACAATCACACAGCAGATCTGCAAAAATGCAGAATCCACAGACTTGCATAATAAAAGTGCTCACTTTGTATTATATTTTGCCATATTACACAATTTTCATTATACTTCCAGGTTCACCTTCAATATTTTAGGGCTAAAACTAATACAGCTGTTGAACAACAGTAAAGCTATTTCTTTAGTTTTCCTCAAGTTCAGCTCCATTGCAGCAATTGAAATGAATGTTGTCTTGGTTTTTTTTCTGATAGTGTGAGTAAGAGTAAATAAAGAAAAAACAAAGTTTCTCCAAGATTCATACTGACCTGATGATTAAGAAATGTTTCTTTATATCATCTTTGTCAGCCAATATTTAAAAAATAATCTGCCTTTGCCAATAGAACCAGAGTTAGAATGAAATATTGTCTAGATGATGTAGTATAGCAGATTTTTTCATCAGCTCAAATAACCTAATTGATTTCTCTGTTTTGTATTGCTAGTGTGGTTGTCATCCTCACCCTTTATTTTACCCAGATGGTAACAGCTGAGAAAATAAAAAATGAGCTGGTTTTGGGTGTCATTGCAAATAACCCTAATCCTACCAAGGCTTTGAAAATTGATGTGAACAGCATACAAATCACAGGTAATACTAAAAAGTTTTTTGGTTTGAGAGTTTTTTGTTTGTTTGGGGTTTTTGTTTGTTTGTTTGTTTGTTGGTATTTGGTTTTAATTCAAAAAGCCCCTCAGAAATACAGGTAGCAGGAATGAAATCTTTGGCTCCCAGACAGCAATCGGATTGTTACTTTTTCTCTAGGGTGCCCTCCTCCCTCATTACATAACTTTCAGTAGCAGCTTAAAGAAGAATTTACAACCTTTTCTACTAGAAAGTATGAGCCAGTATTCCCTAAGGAGGGAGTAAAGGGCAAAGTAGCAGTTTCCCAGTGAAAACCAGTCAATTTCACCTTTTATGAAGCATAATATTTGTAATTTTTAGCCCTCTAATAAAAGCAATTACACCCCAACCATGTTGTTTCATAAGTAAATACAGTTACAATTTTTTTCTGCTAAAGAATAAGAAAAGGGCTCAGAGATGCAGTGAGTAAAGACTTGTTTACTGAAAAATATGTCCTGTAGAAAAAACAAACTGCTTCAGGAGCAGTGCATCCAGGGAACAGGCTCGATATTCCTGTAGAGCCTAGGTAAATGTAAGTGGGGGGGAAAGGAACAGGGCTTTGAGGACTAGGTTGCTTTAAATTCTGCAAATATACAGATATTTTATGTAAGTACTAGAAAATATATCAAAGTCTAAATGGAAGCACTTCAAGATCAGTGGGAATTTTTTTTTTTACTTGAAAAAAAGCTTCAAAACAGCTCTTCATTGAGGATGAGGTTAAAAAACAATCTGAAGCAGAAGTTGATTAGCTGACATTTGAAGACCTGCTGGAGTTATTATTAAGTAAAATCTGAGGAGTGGCAATCTGCTGTGCCATGTCTCTTACTCCGTACCAAAAGCTGCATTTTTTGCTAAATACTTCAAGTATTCAAAGGCTAAATTCAGAATCTGGACATATTTAGTTCTCTTTGCTGCTTGTTTAATACAAATTACTGCACAACACTATGGAAATTGATTGCTCGTTTTACTTCAGAAATGCCACCAAAAAAATAATTAAGAGCCTCTTAAAAGGTTCATCCATTGATGAACTTTGAGGTAGTCAAGCTTTTTCTGCTGTGGATCATTGAAATGCCTCTTTTCACATGAGAAATCACCTGCCTATTCTACCAGGAGTGCTTCAATAAAATAATTGTAAGTAATTAAGAACTTCAATATGTGGCACTTTTGAATATATCAATATGTTCTGCTAGAGACATTCCTATTTCAGAGAGGGAGAGAGGTGTCACACAGGTGTGACTTGCTTGAAGTGAGTTTTCACAGTGATTAAAAGTAACTTTCTTTCTTGTAAACTGTCCCAGGTTAATTTTAACTCATTCATCTCTTCTAAATACTGTTCTCTAAGACACAGGTGCTCTGCAAATCTCTATAGAATAAAAAGCCTCGAGAGAGATTTCCCAGGTGAAGACATTCTGTGTGCAGTGCAATCAATAGGGATTGAGGATTGAAAAAAACTGCAGTTGGCTTTGAAACCTTGAAACCTCAACTCATTTTTGGGATCTTTCTTCCTTGGGAAGATCATGGAGTTTGAGAAAAGATTGGGAACGAGGCAAAAGGAGAGAAGCAGGACACTGACAGGACACTGATTTAATGAGAAATAGTAACAGCTGATTTCTTTTTAATCTTTATTTCTGTCATTTGAAACTAGACACTGTGCTATAAAAGAAGTTTGTAATGAACTTGCTTTCTTCCAGTAGCTGCTGCAAATCCTACTACAGCGATACCTTTAACCTCATCAGGTCAGTATCTTTCTCAAAGCAGGCACTAATTTTTGTTACCAGTACAAGATGAATGGAAAACAAGAATTGCTGTTCAGCTCACATAACTTAGTAAAGCTGCCCTGGCTGCAGCTGGGGATTGACTGCCAGGGTCCATTCAATGATAATTAACTGCTTTCACCATTTCTGACTATTTGAGAAAGCAGTGAGTGATCTGTAGTCTGTACAAAATCTGTAGGAGCTTAATTAGAGTACCAACCAAAAAGCTGAGTCTCCATTAACCAGCTGAGCTGCAAGCTGAAGATTTTGTGGATTTAGGGAGGTAGATCAGGCTGGGGAGTCCTGCTCTTATGCTGTGGTTATTGATTTACTAAGCAATGTTGACAGACAGATTTTCCTTCCACTATCCCTGGAAGTTTTTTTATGATGATAAGACATGAAGCAGACAAACTTAGTCTCACAAACCTGCCAAAATCAGCCAGAGAGATAAACATTACAATAAGTGCTTTATAGCACTAGGGGCATGTAGTCACATACAAACTGCATGCAAATTGTCACATACAAACTCTCCAGGGCAGGGTACCAGGCCAGCTAAACAACTGCCCCTATAAAAATAGGAGACAAGTAATTATTGATATTCTAATTACAGCCATAGTAATGAAAGAGTTACCATGAGTCTGGTTACAGGCCTACCAACGTGTATAGTCCAAAGTGTGCAAGTACTGTAGTCTATTCCCAAAGATACCATTTAAACTGCTAGCATTCAGTTTTTTCTCCTATCTGCCCCTTCCTCTGGTATGCTATCTTAATGCTCCCCTGGTCTTAAGTTCAATGTTGTTAATCACCCTCAAGCAAAATTTGGAGACTGGGCGAGGTTCCTAAGGAAAGGGGAAGGGAGTTGGGAATTGTCTGCACCCAAGGTTGGAATGGCAACAGTATTCCTGGTGTGAATTTCTGCTCCCTTGGCCTTGGGTCTGCTTGACGTAATTTTTGTGGTTTTGTTCATATTGTCTACTTCCTTGTTCTTTATGTTTCAGTCCAAATGTCACAATATACCGCATTTTACCATACTGGGTACATTTACACCTGCTGGATGCAGGGTTATGGCTCTGCTGACCCTAAAAACATCCTTTTCCATCTCAACTCGATACTTTAGTGAGATTTTCTAGTAATTGTGCTTATATCACTGCTGTTTCTGTCACTTTCCTGTGTTTTCCTTTTAGGGACTTTGCTGTCAACTTGTGCATGCACTTTTGTGAACATCTGTAGCAACCAAAATTTTTCAACAGTCTTCAAGATGTAGCTCCTTGATAACTGTCTTCTTAGAATTGTTTGCTCCTGCATGCATCTATGATTTAGGTCTTGGAATGTTTAATTCCTTCTAAATTGGTTATCCTGTAGTAAATATATAGACAGATATGTCGGTATAAATATATATATATATGTGTGTGTGTGTGTATGTGTATATCTCTTTGAAAACCTGTCATGGTATCAATTAAGCTTTTTTTTCTCTGCAGTAGCTGTGAGAACAATCCATCTATTCACTGCTCTTCTCTCTGCCAAAGAAACTATGTCCCTAAATTTGCTGACACAGAATGCACTGTGACCAGAATGGTCCAGTTTATCTTAATAGTATTTGCTAAATAAGCATGTTTTGATCAAAAATTGGTGGGAAATCCTCCTGCAAGTTTGTGCACTAGGTCTGGGAGAGCAGGAATATCTAACAAAAGTAAGTTGGTGATGGCCAATGGTCATCAACTTCTACCCACAAAACTGATGGGTGACAAGCTATAGAGAAGTCCTTACTGCATCTCCCACTTCATTCCTTCAGGCCCCTCATCCTAGAAACTGAGGTACAGGATCCAGTACCTGCAGTGACATGAGGATTGTTTTCAGTCAAAGACATCATCATCCTACTCACATATTTGAGTCTTAATTTAGAAAGTCAAAGTAGTAAACAGGGATGCTGAAGCAAATTCAGAGAGGAAAAAAAAAGACTGTTTGGGAGCTGGAAATTCCAGGTGCATCCTCAAGGAAATGGAACTTCTGTTGGAGCAATCACAAATGCACATTCCATTTTTCCAGAATGTTTTGCAGTTTACAAACACTAATACAAATCTGCTCATTTACCTAGGAATTTGTTCAGGTGTAAATATGTACACTCACCGGTATGTATATATATATGCACCTGTATGTAAATAGACAAATAATAGATAGGTTTGAGGCTCCTAATTTATTTGTAGAGCAATTTTATTTGTCAGAAAATGTACATTTTCCTTTTAGTACTAATGTTGAAGTTGTTATAACTTTTCTTTTTTCAACAGATCCCACAAGTTTCATTACAAGTTCCTTGACACCGACTTCAGGTCAGAACTTTTACAGGGGAAGACAAGAAAGAATTGCTCCTGTTTTAGTGGGGGGAAGATGGAAGGAGGAAAGAAATCTTTTGAAGTTATTGAAACACTTGGGTTTCACATAATTTTTTCTTATGTTTATTGTGACACTTGAGCTTCAGGACCAAGCCACTCAAGCTGGCACTACCATATCATTACCTGGAGTGCGGGGAGCAAAAAATGCAGATATAAAAGCAGATTAACTGCTGCTTAATTGTGCCCAAGCAACCACAGAGGTGCTCCCAGAGAGGAAGAAGTAAAGTTCTAACCCTGGGTTTTGTTTGTCCAGGTTCAGGACAGCTCACCACAAGCAAGTCCTCAACAACAGTGGGTGAGTAACTCTGTGTGTGAAGGAGCAGGGAGGTTACACAGAGAAATCTGAGATTACAAAATTGCACTGCTCATGTACAGCCTCTCCTCACAGCATTCAATCCTTGTATTCCATTCCTGAAAATTCAGGACATGCAGGTCTACCTTAGACCAAGGAGACCTTTTCAAAGAGAAGGGACTTCTAAGACTGTACATGCTACGAAAATGCTGCATGTGTTATGCGTGTTGATGCACACATTGACACTAGCTGGTTTTGTTTGTTTGTTTTTTTTTTTCAATTCATGTTATTTCTTTACTTTTATGGAGAAAATAAAACAAAATAAGCAACTTAATAGCAAAGTATAACTTTCACTGGACAGAAAGCTGAAGATGTTTGAGTATTTGAAAACATTCTCCAGCCTTCTTACATGTTGCAATATAAATGATTTCTACAAGCAATCTAATGTGTTCAAGTCTTATATGTTTACTGCCCTTATTTAGTTGAATATAACACTTACAGCACAATTTAGGGTAATTTGCCATTTAAAGAGAAGTCAGAATGTTTCAGCAGGAAAAGTTGATTTCTTTCAATCCAGGAGGTGGCAGTGCTGTTTAGTTTTCTGACTTGAATGAGCTGAGAATTGATCATGTTGTATGCAAACAATGACTTCTTTCCTGATGGGCTTGAGCAAAATCTCTTCCTGGGTTACTGGCTGGAATTTTTGCTCTGGATCTAGAATGCATAGTTTTGTCTCTGCTCATTTGTGGAAATTCATTCACTGGCCTTGTGTCACCTCCAAGGCTTTACTGGAATATTTTGGTTCATATGAATTTCCAGTTGGATGCAAAATGGTAAATCTTGTGGCTTTGTAACATTTGCATTGCCAACACTGAGGGTGTTTTGTAAAGCACTTTGAAGTGCTACAATACATCGATACCAATGTCAGTCTGAGACACAGTACAATATCACACTTAATCTGATTACAGAACTAGCAGCTCTATGAAACAAAATATGAAAATATGAAATTTTACAGATTACTATTTTTCCTTCTTGCATCATAAATGTTGACCTTTTTCTGTAAGCATTTATTGAAGTAGAGACAAGGAACTGTGTGAATAGTTCTATAGAATTAATGCAATTTTAAGAATTTTCAAATTAGTAGTTCTCCAAAGCTTAGTTTAGCCACATGTTTCTGTTCAATTTAATAGGACCTACTTCAATTCTAAAGATATCTAAGACCAAAACCCTCTAAAGACTAAGAGTTTGTTTTCAGTAGATGAACATTTATGCTCTAGGAAAAGGCTATTAGTAAGATCTACAATTACAAGGATCTGCCCATGTATACTTCTAACAGAAATTTGCTCTTAATTTAAATATTTAATTTGTAAATCTTAAAAGAACATGGTTTCTGATTATTCTGGTGTTTAAGAATCTAGTCTTAAAGACTCTTTTTTTAGGATATGCTAGTTAAAAAATCAGATTCCTTAGCATGATGAGGTGCAACAGTGTGATGTGTTAAAGTTGAAAAAATCAATTAAATTCTATTTACCTAAACCCAGAGATTATTCACTGTTATTTAAACCAAAGTACAGTTTTCTCACATTACTTGAACAGAAGAAATTGGAAAATGTCATTTATTATATTGCATAAAGTAGTTTATTTGTGTAAAGGAAAAAAAAAAAGAATTCATAGATATTTTCTTCCAGCCTTACTTCAAGCTTAGTTTCGAAAGATATTTCACTTCTGAGAACTCTCTCCATTCTGTGCCAAATTTATCTTTTTAGTATGTGATATTTCATTCCAGGCTTCTAAAAATGCAGTTTTGTAAAACACAATGGAGTGGTTGATTTGATTTGTGGTAAAGCAACCAGAGGAAAGTCAATTTTCCTTTGTGGTGAGACTGCATTATTGTTGTGCTGTTATTGCTCTCATCTTTATTATTCCAGCTGAGTGTTTGCTACCTGCTGAACTCTGTGCTGATGGTGCAACCTGCATTAGTGAAGATTTCTTTTGTGATGGAGTCTTGAACTGCCCAGATGGTTCAGATGAATCTGAAAAAAGATGTGGTAAGAATGTAAACTCCTGTAAATGTCTTTTTACACATGATTAACACTGTCAGTATTTTGTAAATAGTTTATGGGCAATAAACTGCACAAAGAAGTCCAAATCAATCCTATTAAACATAATAATGAGTGATTTTTAAAATAATTACCTTGCAAGAGGAAACAATGTTCTGTAAAATTCTCACTAATGAAGAATATGCTTAATAAATAATGAAATATTAGAGTCTTTCTGTTTTAATATAAAGCAGTAAATTTGTTGCTTACTATAGAAATATTACTAACATAAGTCCTATGTAAATTACAAAATAATATACAAATTTAATATGAAGATTTGCATCAGTGATATCAAACAGTGTTCAGACCAGATGACCCATACAGGTCCCATTCAGCCTCAGCCCATCAGTGAGTCTACAAAATTGCAGACCTGAAACCCTACTGGAGTTTAACAAAAAGAGTTCTTATCCTGCAGTGCCAGTCAGTTTGTTTGCCTTTGTCTTATCTTTGAGTACTGTGTCCATTTTTGGGTCCCTCACTACAAGTCCCATTGAGGGACTGGAGAGGAAGGGCAATAAAATTGCAGAATAATCCATGTGAGGAGCTGGGAGGCCTCAGCCTGGAGAAAAGGCAGCTCAGGGATCAACTTCTCACTCTGTACAACTCCCTGACAGCAGAGTGGAGCCAGGCGCAGGTCAGGCTCTTCTCCCAGGTGACCAGTGACAGGACAAGAGGAAATGGCCAGGGGACATTCAGGTTAGACATCAGGAAGAATTTCTTCACAGAAATGGTTGTCCAGCATTGGAATGGGCTGCCCAGGGAGGTGGTGGAGTCACCATCCTTGGAGGTGTTCGAGAAATGACTGGACATGGTCTGGCAGACAAGGTGGTGCTCCAGCAAAGGCTGACTTCAATGACCTTGGAGGTCTTTTCTAACCTAAGTGATTCTACTCTATGATTCCATCTGACTTCCTCGTTTCCCCAAGAAACTATTTGTACCAAGGAGTTTGACTGCAGTGCTCCTCACCAAAGTGCTCTGCAGTTTTGCTGGGGAGGCGTGCGGGTTAATGCTCCCTGCATTGCTCTCCACAGCCTCAGCTCTCAGTTAAAAGTCTGTCAAGTTGTCTCTCAAAGAGAACATTGCAAATGTTTTAGGAGAAATGGGAGCAACTAACTCCCTCAGTGTTTTGTTAGCTTGTTTCTTTGTTGGGAGTTTTTTCGTTTTGTTTTGTTGGGGGTTTTTTTGTTGGTTTTTTTTTTTTTTTTTTTTTTAATACATAGAATTTAGTGCTAGAAATCTGGAAAGCTTATTTCCATTCTGCTGTGAGAAGAGGAAAACAGTGAGGGCAGTCTGCTTCGAGCTTTCAGAAACATGTGAAATGCTGGGCTCTAAAAACAAACAAGCAAGTAAAAGGCCAATTATGTTTTTAAAGAATCTGAAAGCTTGATCCTGAAGGTTTGTGACAGCCAGAACCTCTCTGTCATAAATGCAATTTTCTTCAGAAAAAAAGAAAAGAGAATTGCAGATTCTCTGCCCATTGCCTGCGTTTTTTTCTGTCTGCAGTCAGGTCAGGAGGGAGACTTGACTGAACATTTTGGGGGAAATATCCATCAGAATACTTCAGTACTATATCCACTGAAGCACATAAAAATGTGTACTTATCATAACAGCTGCATCTAGCTAGATCATAATAACTATTGGCTCTGAGTTGACCCTTCTACAGGTGAGGAAACCAGAAGGTCCTAAGGTTCAGCTAGACCCTAGTTCCATGGAAAGCATTAGGTAACCTAACCCCAAGAAGTTATTCAGTCAATCATTTCTACCATCAAACTTTTTTTTTAGACAGATCTTATACTGGGGGTATTTGTTGGTTTTTTGGGGTTTTTTTTTTTTTGGTTGTTTTTTTATTTTAGGTATTGCTAAATAAGAAAAATATAGACCTTATATTCATAAAGTGATCTCATAAAATGAATGCTTTTTACTTACCATCATAGAGTCACAGAATGGCCTGGGTTGGAAGGGACCTTAAAGATCATCTCATTTCAACCCTCTGCCAGGTACAGAGATACCTTCCACTATCCCAGGTTGCTCAGAGCCCCATCCAACCTGGCCTTGAACACTTCCAGGGATGGGACATCCATACAGTTTATGAGCAACCTGTTCCAGAAGGTTTTCCTAATATATGATCTAAATCTATTCTGTCAGTTTGATGCCATTTCCCTTGTTCTGTCACTCCAGGCCCTTGTAAATAGACTCTCTCCATTTCTCTTGTAGGATTCCTTCAGAGAAAGGACACAATTATATAACCCCAAAACCTTCTTTTCTCCTGACTGAATAATTCCAATTCTCTCAGCCTTTCCTCATAGCAGAAGAGCTCCATCCCTCTGATCAACTTGGTGGACTCCTCTGAACTCACTCTAGCAGGTCAATGCCACAACTAGGTCTGAATTTAGAAGTTTCCACCCACATTTTATTGAAGACATTACATTCATACATATTATGTGTGACAAAATTAAATTTGTATTATATATTGGTAGATACAGACAAAAATAAGCTCAAATACTTGAAGGCAAAGCTGTGTAGACATGACTCAGCTGTACCTTGGAGGCCACACAGGGGTTTAAGTTATAAATTGTGCTTGAGTAGAGTTTTTCAGCTGAGGCATAAACTCTTATGCACATGGCTTTTGGATGTGATTTGCACATCTCCCTAAATCTCTACCAAATATAATTTGTGAATGTTTTCCCCTTTGTAAATGAGGAAGTCACTCCTCATTTCAACACAACTGAGCTGAAAATTTCAGGAATGTGCATACTTAATAAAAGTAGTAAATAAAATAAATACGTACAAATAATAAAAGTAAAAATAAAAGTATAAAATAAATATTAATAAGAGTAAAAATAGTCAGTGTCAGAAGGGAAGACAGCTGTAGTTACAGTCCAAATAACTGGATGATTTGCCCCTGTTTATCTTCACTGATGCCTAGTACTCCCAAACAATTTGGTCAGTTACCACTAGTGCAGCAGTTTTTGCTCATAACCTTATAGAAGTACAGCTTAAAGTCTTTCCTATCCAAAACCTCAGAGCTTCTCTAATTTTATGTATTTAAGTACCTTAGCAGATTTTATAAAATCAGTGGAATGAGGGATAAGAAGCTGAATGCCGCTTTGGGATAGCTGCCAATTTTTCCACATTTTTGATGTTTCACATTTGTCCCATTCCTAGATGGGAAACATGTCACATGAAATCTAAAATTGCTCAGATTTTCAGAAGTTCTTCAGAGTTTCACAATGAGATTTATGACCAATTCATAATTCATTCTACAAGTGCTCCTGCATATGAAAGAGTTGTTGTCCTCTAAAAAACTTGGTTTGTTTTTCATCTTGATTGTCATTATCTCCAGTATTTCTGATTTCATAATGTCAATGGTTTAAAACAGAGAATTAAGAAGTGAATTTTGGTAATCTCTTTCCTGCATTATAGAAAATTCCGTAAAATCTCAGATTCTCACAAGAGATTCAGACAACCGAACACCCTTTTTTTTTTTTGTTTGTTTTATTGATTAAAATTACCTTGAAAGGTTTCTTTCTGGCTCTGCAATGCAGTGCAGTAACAAAAAGCTTCACAAAAGTACAGCTAGCAATTTCAGTGAAAGGGTCTCTAGAGAAATGTGAAGTCTGACCAGCAGCCACTAATAATGACTGGCATTGCTGTAAAGCAGCCATGTAGCATGTAGGGGTACAGAAAGGGAGACTGGAGGCTGATCCCAGGAGGGGTTTCTGCAGACTCTTTGCAGTTATTATACATCTAGACCATCATTTTGTGATTACTCACCTCATAGCATCACTACAGCACTGAGAGAGATTAATCAGAAAGTCATGGAGTGGTCTTTGGCAGAGAAAGATCCTGTCAAGTGAAATATGTGGGCTTGATTTGACCAGTTTGGGGAGCTTCTCCCTCAAATCCAAGGCTAACAGGATGAAGCCCTCATAATGTCCCATGCATGGAACATAAGTAAATAGAAGTGGACAACAAGATACATGTTGGGGAAGGAGTAGAAGTGGCTCCTTCAAAGGATATCTCCTGTCTCCTTAGGAGAGCAACTGCAGCTTTTCTTTGGGCTCCAGGATGAGGCAAAACTGCAATGACTTCCATGCCCATCCATCTTTGACCACAGCTGCTTTCTTCCTGCAAGGAGGAAGCACTGGGAGGTTCTCTAGGAAAAAAGGACCAGTCCCTGCTCATTCCTGACACATTCCTTAGCCATACACCTAAGGACCTGTTTGAATTTACTCACTGTCTCTTAAGAGATAAGGAACAAATAAAAGATAACAATAAGAAGATAAGAACAATCATAATAATAGGGGGCTGGAGCATCTTTCTTATGAGGAAAGGTTGAGAGAGCTGGGCATTCTGCCTTGAGAAGAGATGACTGAGAGGGGACCTGATCCGTGTCTGTCAGTGTCTGCAGGGAGGGGTCAGAGCAGGGACCAGGCTCTGCTCACTGGTGCCCAGCAATGGGACAAGAGGCAATGGGCAGGAATTGATGCACAGGAAGTTTCACTTGAACATGAGGAAGAAATTCTTCACTGTGCAGTGACCAAACACTGGAACACATCATCCAGAGAGGGTGTGGAGTCTCCAACACTGGAGATATTCCAGAACCAGCTGGACACAATCCTGTCCCATGTGCTGTGGGTTGATCCTGCTTGAGCAGGGAGGTTGGACCCATTGTGGTCCCTTCCCACCTGACCCATTCTGTGATTCTAAGAGAAATGAATGAGCAAACACTTGTCATTGATTTTATTAGAGAAGTATGCTTACCTTTTTTATTATTGTCCATACTATAAAATTCCTTTTAGATCAGATTATGTCTATACTTCTTAACACCACCACTGGTTAACAAGCTGGGCACTTTCCTTCTTCTCACACTGATTTTCTCCTTCCCATTGGTAAGGACAGGAAATATGTGAATTAAAGCGGAGGAAAAAAGTACTTTTATACCAATAGCCAGCTCCAATGCTAATATAGAATAATAACTATCATTCATGGACCTTTTCTCTCTATGTATTTAAAATCTTATGTGTTGTGTTTTCCTCTCAAAGATTGCAAAAGGGAATATGTTTCTATTCGGCTCATGCATTAGGCATGTTGGCAGAGTTCATTCTGCACAGTCTTTATTTATGGCTATGTGAAACAAAACTTGACTTTTATTTTGTGTTTGCTACAGTGATAGGCAGAAAGAATTTTACACTTATAAAATGAACACATAAGGAGGCTCAATTTATTCTTTTATATATAATTTCCCAGAGAAGGACTATGATCAATAAAATTCCCATTTAATTTTCAATATGATTGGTTATTCGTAATTTGGACCATCATTATAGGTATGGTTTCATTTCTGAAATTAATTAAAAGCTCTGTATAATTTCTGATCATCTGCCTCAAATTGATGAACTTGTCCTTACCTCTCCAAATATTCATGTGTGATACTGATTTTATCCTTATGTGAAAGCCCTATGATACTTTTTGAGGAACTGAAGAGAAAACATTATTAGACAAATTCCTAATATAATGTTAAGAGATGAAGCAAAACCTTCAGCTGCTCCTCAGCGTCTGCTAAAATAAAAATCTCTACATGAATTATCATTTCCAGTCTTGCTGAGGCTTAAAAATATTTTTTCCTCTTTTTAAAATGAAAAATTTTTATAGAATGGAATATCAACATCAAGGGAAAAAAACTATTGAAAGGCCTTTGAAAAAATAGATGATGATAAATGACATTTACCTCAGCTGAATGAATTCAATAGCTGGCAGGGAACTTGGGAGATCCACTTATCTCTTCAAGTACTCAGTAATATATAAGGCAAGGAACCAGGAAGCTCATAAAAGTAGAGATAACAATAGTCAACCATATCCCCTTTTGCTTTTATTCACGTGATATCAAATTGTCTCTGGTAGTACAAACACAGTTTACTCATTTAAAGTAGTTGTAGATAAGAACTGGTAAAGCAAGATCCTGTTTCCTTATAAAAGTATAGAGTAAAATGAAAGTATTGGATTAGCTAAATCCAGTTGCTGTTTTTGAATTATTTGGATTGGTTAGACTAGTTTGGATTAGTTGGATTGTGTCTAATTTAAAAATGAATTTTCTGTACTGGTTTTCTTCTCTTGTAGTACTTTGAGATCAGTGATAAGAATTAGAAATGGGAATAAGTTGATAGTGTATTTTAATTTGTCTTCCTGTTGTTGCTTACAAAGCAGTTCCAAGGTAATCCATGTAAATCAATATTCAGGGTCACCCACATTTTGGCTCCAATTCTGTTTTTCAAATGTCATTCTGACAAATGTTCTTCATTATATCTTTGCAGCTGCAGTTTGTGATGGAAAATTCATGTTGACTGGTTCCTCTGGGTTTTTTCACTCTATGAATTATCCAGAGCCATATAATGAAAACATTTTTTGCCAATGGATAATAGTGTAAGCCATTTTCCAATAAAATTGTACCTAATACTTTTTTGATTATGAGGTGATCTTGTTTCCTGCACAATAGTCTTATGCCATTTGCTTTTATTCCCAAATACCCCAGCATAGAAAATATGTAATACCTTTTTCTTCTTCGTGTTTATGTAACTTTTCTTTAAAAACCTTCATGCATAAGATCCATAACTATATCAATAATTTTTCCACTTACAAAAGTTCTTAGGTACAATTTTGAGAAATCTTGTGTGTCATATACATCCAGAGGAACATAAGTGTAAGTTCAAAATAAATCACATAAAATAATTGCAAGATTTTTTTCCCCAAAGGATTACATTAAATAGTAGTCTTCAGGTAATGGCTTTATATGATGTAATTCTTATTTAACAGAGTTTTCAAGAATTCCCTTGTCACTTAGGTGTAAAGGTTTCATATGTGAATTAAGAGTACCTGTGTACCTATGTAATTTAGAAATATATTTTAGAATTGCATAATTTATTGCATAGTTAATTGCATTTTCCATAATGGCACAACATTCCTGTTAAACCTTAGGCACAATAAGTGGTTTGGGGGTTTTTTTAATCAAGGATATATACCTACAGACAGGGACAACTGTGTGATTTTGACTCCCCTAGGCCAGGGAGAAAAAAGATAGCGACACTATATGACAAATCTCGTCCAAAAGTACATATCTAAAAAAAATTAGATGATCACAAGTTAGACAGTCCTAAAAATCCGTCCTATGACTGTCAATTCAGAAGTTACTGCTTTAAAAGGCAGTAATTCTTATAATGGTTTCATAATAATGAATGTTCTTTGATTCTGAGAAGTATTAATTTGGCAGAAGATTTCAAAGGAGATTAAGAAATTGCTTTTAAAATTGCAAAAGGTTTGAGCTTCTCATTCCAAAGCCTCCTTTGAAACTGCTAGGCTTTGATTTTGTTCAGAACTTTCATCTTCACCTTGAAATCCTGGTTTTCCTTCTGTTTAGTACATTTTTTTCCTTGTCATCCTTAGTGGTACTGTTCACTAGTAATTACTGACAACACCTGGCTTTAAAATACAGGTGTGCCCCAGGAAAAGAACAAGATTTTTTCCCTTCAGAATATGTCTGCCTTGTTCCTCATTTCCTGGCATTGCAGAATTTGAGCCTAGTAAATAAACATGGCCCCAGTCCCCTCCTCCCTTCTACACTGTTGATGTTGCTCCAAGTGCTGCTATAGCTGCAAGAAGCATTCTGTTAGGTAGATATCTATACCAGGTATGCAGCCAGTAAAAATATCATTTTGGAAAGAACCATGAGCAATTGCAAATAATACGGTAGAGGTTCTGCAGATATGTGTAATTACAGATTGAAAAATGACAAAAGACAACCATCTGAATTTATTTTCCACTTAACTGCTTTAAGAAATCAGGAAATACTGAGAGTTAAGCCCCAAGAAATTCAAAGTAGTGCTCAAATTTTGTCTTTCTTTCAAACAGAGTTGTTTCCATGAGGGAACTTTTAGGTTTTCCAGTAACCTAAGTTTTTTATTATCCCTATAAAAATGTGTTAAGAGGCAACCTATAATACATCCGAGATTGTATTTTCTTGTGTGTGCCTTTGTATAGAAATATTTCCCCATTACCTTTAGGAAGAGCTTTTGCATTTTCATGCCCTTTAACTCCAAATGAAGATCCAATCTCCTCTCCTTAAAGAGCAATATGCTTAATATTTCCCTGAAACTTTAGCTTCCTGAACCTTCCAACTATATGTTTTTTCTAACCAAAACTATTTCTTCCATCTGGAGAAATATAAAATTACAACAACAACAAAAAATTTGAAAAGGCAAAATATCTAAGTATTTATTTCACACTTCTCTAGTTATCATTACTGATAAGCACCAGCAGATTGCTGTTAAAAGCTTATTTTCATTGAGTCTCTGAATTCTGGAAAAAAAACCACATAGTGGTAGCTAAGCTGGTAGTGTTTTAGAATTTGGACTACCATATGTGTCTAGTGGAAAGGAAATGGGAGAAGAAATTAAATATATATTATTCATAGAGCATAACTATAGAAAAATAAGGCCAAGAATTTTTACACTTTACGTCAAGTGACTTCTGTCATTAACTTTTCGTGTGATGATTTGGATTTGCAACAATTTCCCAAAGAGTGGGTTTGAGATCATCAAATCTGCATGCAAATCCTGTTTTTGTCATAAGAGGCAGTGTTTTGGACTTTCAGGAGAGAGATTTTGATATCTTGCTGTTCATATTGATATCTGGATACTGTTCCTCTGGGTTTGGGAAGTCTACCTGAGCAGTGAGATATCTAAGAGTAACATGTACGAAAAAAGTGTTTGCAATTCAATGAGATGCAGAGGACAACAAAACCCAGCCAAAACCATCCAAAAAACCCCTTACAGGACTGATAATCACATTCTAGAGTTCAGAACATTCAGTTTCTAAAATACACTTAACTCCAGTGCATAAAGGTGTGCACACACTGTACAAAATGTTCAATTCCTTTGGTAATTTTACAACTAAAAGTTAGACAAAAAGATCATCTTGATTAATAATCTTGATTGAAATAATTTCATGTTGCTTCTGAACTTATCATTCAAGCACTCAATGACTTCAATTACTTTACTGAAGTAAAATAATAGATTTTCAGTTTTGAGTTTATGTTTTTTTGTTGCCTTAGAGTGCCTCAAGGGTTGTCCATTAAACTGAACTTCTCTTCTTTTGAAACACAACCATATGCAGACGAGCTGAGTATTTTTGAAGGATTAGGACAAAACAAAGTTTTAAGAGGTAAGTTTATTTTTCAGCTAATAATATTCAAATCTAAGTGGTTAAATAAGCATTTTAAGGTATCAAAAGCTGCATGTGTATGTTTAAAAGGAAGACTGGATCTGCATAAAGTTACCCTGTTGGACAATTAGTCTCAATATACCCGTCTGCCTTTTAATTTGACCAGATAAAACCCTTATACATTATGAAATTTCTACTTGTTTATTGACAACTCATTTGAATGATCTTGATAACTTCATCAGCCTCATGGTCTTGTGGGGTCCATGTTTCTTTGGAAATATATTGTCAGAAGTTCCTATAACATCACACACAGTAACATAAAAGGAAAGAATCTAAACTGAACAGGTAAGAGAATTGCTACAAAATTTCCTGAAAATACAAGTATTTTTAAATACATTGTTTTCCTCAGATCTTGAAATACTGATGATAACTTAACTCTGTCTCTATATTCTACTCTGAAAACTGGGATTGTACCCATTTTTTACAAGACTCAGTCTATACAGCTGAATTCCATCAGAGATGGAAAACATCTTCTGAAGATAGACTATAGGAAGATAACTATATCAGAAAGATATATTATTCTTTATCCTTATTTTTATAGGAAATAGGTAGAGAATGAGAATTCAAAATGGTAAAAGACTAGCTGATATCCATATTGGTGGATATGAGAGATGGAATGTGCAGAATATTTATATGTCAACCAAACAGCTAAATACTCCAAGAGTTTGAAGCTATTGTAGCAGGATTGCAGTACAACAGGAAAATCATTCCTTAAGACTCAATAAACTAATCCAGTGTGGTTTTGTGACAACACTGGAAATTTTAATGTGCCTGTGATTATTCTCTCTCTGATTGTATCGTTTCTTTTATTTGTTTTCAGCTTCTCTGTCAGGGACCAAACTTGAAACTATTTACATTTTTTCTCATGAGGCTACAGCACAGTTTATGTCTGATTATTCAGAGAATTATAATGGCTTTAATGCAACATACACTGCATTTAATGCGAGTGAACTAAACAGTAAGTGTTCTCTCTGTGTGTGTGTGTGTGTGTGTGTGTGTGTGTTTGGTTTTTTTGTTTCTTTTTTATCCCAAAATTTTAATGAATCTACACTTTCAGTTCGAGTAAATGGCAGTGGAAAAGGAAGCATCATTTTCTGGCCTTAGCCCAACAATTAGATCCACTCTGAATAAATTCATACTGTTTTAAATATCAAACAAATTATTTCTGTAAGGCCATTCACAGGTGTACAGGCCTGTATCTAGCAGTAGGGCGATGTCTTACAAAACTTATCTGTGTAAATAAAACTGTGTCTGCACCTCCATCAGATTCCTCTCAGCCAGTTTGTTCACTAAACTGACCACAATGTCTTTAGAAATAAAATAAAATGTTTTATTTTATTATTTAGAAGTAGCATTCAGGAAAATACCTGCTTCAGTAAATAGGCCTTAAGAAAAGTCTGGATGAGGTAAATCTACAGTGACAACAAAATGCAGCAATATGACTCATGCTTTGGTAATTGGATAAGTGAAGGCTTCTTTAGCTGCTAAATTTGGAGCAGGAGGTGAGCAGGGAATGTGGCTGGGATGGGATATGCTGCAGGAAGCACCCACAGGATCAGAAAGTCTGAAATATCATGAGAACAAAAGTGATGAGGATGCTGCAGCAAAGCCATGTGAGCAAAGGAGCAAATGAGAATAAGGAAAGGGGCATCCCAGGGCCATGGAGCACAGCACTCTGCTCTAATGGTGAGCCCTTTCTGCTGGAGCAATCCAGGCCTTGGCAAAGAAAAGAGGAAATGAAGGATCAGAAATGAAGGCTGGTGAATGAATGCAAGAGTATGTTGGGCTACCCTTCAAAAATAGTGTTTTATTAACAAGTACAAACAACACACTTATTTGAGTAATTTTGTTGCATTGCATAAAGAGAAAATTAAGTCAGTGTGGGCTGGTTTACAAACATATTTAAAAATTGACATTATTCATCACTCCTTCCCATGTAATTCTAAGAAAAAACTTACCATCTCTGTCATCTTTTATTTACTAGAAGTTCTTATTCACAGATTATGAGAAAATCAATTGCACTTTTGAAGATGGCTTTTGTTTCTGGATACAAGATTTAGATGATGATTCAGACTGGGACAGAGTTCACGGTCCTACCTTTCCCTTGATGACTGGTCCTGATTTTGATCATACATTTGGCAACTTGTCAGGTAAGATCAAAAAAGTGGCTTTAAGATTAAAGGAAAAACTTGATTTAGCTTATATCACTGCATTATGGATTCGTCATAGTGGTATTACTAGGATGTTGTAGTATTCTACCATAAAAATGTCAGGGCTACCAGATAAAATGTTTTATCCTTCTGATTGCCCTCTTGTGGAAACATACCAAAACCAAAAGGAAAAAAAACAGAATATGTAAAATTATTTAAGTGTGAGGTACTAAAAAATTCAATGCTTTTATTACACCAAAATGCCTTATCTGAGAAAGGAATTTCTATAGGGCAAAAATGTTATAGGTCAAAAACCTGTATGTTTAACTTTAGGGAAAAAAAGTATAATTAGCATTATTAGGCAAATCACTTCTGTTTCACCCCTCTCTACTGCTGACATCCTCAGGTTTGTCACAAAAAAATTTTGATTTAAATAAAGTTGACCTGCAGTTTGCAGGAAGCATCTGTGTCCCTAGTTACTGCACAGCAAACACACCAACTGTGCCAAACACACAAACACTCCAGTAACTGTTACAGTTGAATAACATAATTGGAAAAGTGGTCATATCAAAAGTGGTATTTATTTAAAGAGACAATGCTGATAGGAATTGGATTTTGAATGCATCATGAATCCTTATACCAGCATTAGACTCCATAAGTTTTTTTCTGCTTCAACAATAAAGCCAAACAATCACTCTCTCAGCTGATTTGTCAGTCCAGCTAAAACCAGATAAAATACAAATTGGATCCTGCAATGGTTATATGTATTCTATGCAAGACTTACATAAAATTTATTCAGTGACAAATAAGTGGAAAAATTGCAAATTATTCTGAAAGAAGTTACTCCTGGGAAAAGATAAATAGTATTCTGCACTTTATCAGATAGAAATTATTCACCCCTCTCTGAGTTAATGCACATTTTTCTAAACATCTTCAGAACACTGTTTTGTCTTCCCACTTGGCTTCTAGAATGCAAATCAGATGAAGGAATGTAAAATTTGTTTAACAAAACACTTGACAATGATCTCTCTCTCAAAAATATTAATCAATTTTAGGTGCTCTCTGTTTTCCTGTGCCAAGTCTAAGCTGACATATGTAATGCTCCTATGTGTAACATTATTATTGTATTGCATATTTAAATTTCTGTGACCATTATTTCAACTAAATTGCATCATAAATATCAAGCTATTACATTCAGTGAAACTTTTTTTTATTTTTTCTGGTCCTGAAAAGTAAAGGCCTTAATACACATTCGAAAATTGATTCTGAATGCTCAGAGAATTGATGAAACAGACAGAGAACTGTCCCCTTGACTATATGAAGAAGTTTTTTCTTTAAGTTGGACACCGTGTCTATTGTACTGCAGGCTCTCTAAGTCAAGAGAGGAAATGAAAAGCCTGATTCATATTTCAGATTAATTTTCAGGAATTTTAGCCTCCCACATGAAAAAAACTAAATAATCTGGAAGTATAAGTAACAGAATACAGTGTATATAATTTAATTCATATAATTATAAATATATTAATTTGAAAATTCTATTAATACGACATATAGTTGCATATATACGTATTAGTTAGTTAGAAGAAAATACGAGTTTACACCCATTATGCTTCTCTGGCCTAGCCTCATATGGCAACAAGAAGTCCAAATTCCCAGCTGCAACAAATTATCTCAGAAAAAAGCTACAAACCCAATTTCACAAATAAAAGGGAGTTTGTTTGTTTATAATGCCTCACCTTGCTATAAAATATTCACACAGTCATTCACTCTCTTAACATATAATCCATATTTCCCATTGTCATTTGTGGATACAAATTATGAAAATGTTGGGAAAATCACAAGCAATATCAAATAGGAAGACATTTTTATAAAGGCAGGAGAATTGCTGCCTTCACTGAATATAAGGCAGGATTCCCACTGACTTGGAAAGAACTAGTTTCCCATTGCATACCTGGTTCTGAGTGTCCAAGAAGCTTAAAAGCTCAATTTAATATGTCATTGACTGATGAACATATCTTGGGATAAACACTCACATTTACTGTGTCGGAAATCTTCCAAATCATGCAACACTATCTGTGCTTGATGTTATTTTAAATATAAAAACTCTAATTCAATAAGTAAAAAAGTAAAAAAGAAATTTATTCTGTCCTGGCTAAAGTGTGACCATTATCTTGCAGGATTTTATATTTCAACACCCATTGGACTTGGACTCATAGAAGAGCGAGTCCGGATTCTGAGTTTGCCTTTGGTCCCTTCAGAAGCGTATTGCCTAAGCTTTTGGTATTGTTACATAATTCCTAAACCTGTATTTTGTTTAAGAATATACCCAAAGAGCTTTCTTTCATATAAAATATGAATCCCACTCAGTGTGCCAGCAACACCAGCCTGGTTCTGTTTGGATTTCCACAATCAGTCTCAGCTCCAGGCCTGAAGTTTAACTCCTTCATAGCTTTGACTTTTGCAGTTAGCTATAATGTATTTTCTTTTTCACCCTGCATCCAATATTCATTTCTATACAAAAATGATATTAAGAATCCCTGAAATGTTTTTTGTTATGAAGCTTAACTAGGCCTCTACTCTTCCAGGTGTAATTTAAACATACAATTAATATTATTTTCATGCTTGCTTCAAATTAATCCTAATTTCATAAAACATTATAAAATAAAAAGAGCTGCATTTTTTTCATGGAATCTGACTTTGTTCTAATAATACCAAAATGCTTTTCCCCTCTAGGTATTTCATGTATGGGGATAATGTTTACCGTTTAAGAGTTAGCATAAGTGATGAGCGTGGTCAGGAAAAGATAATTTTTGAGAAAGAAGGAAACTATGGAAACAACTGGAATTATGGACAAGTAACTTTAAATGAAACATCTGATTTTAAGGTTTGTTAAGCTGCTTTTTTTTTCTTTTTTCATTTATTTTAGCTAAACTGATATCAGAGACTTCTGTGAAATGACCCCAAAATTCCACTGTTCCAAAGATAATACTTAGTATCATTTAAAGATGTCTGCTATCAAATAAATATTAGCATGCAGAAAATTGGAATCCCCATTTGAATTCTCACAGACCCTTTTCCCTACTCTGGAATTTAAAGTATTAATATTTCAGAAAACATGATCATTGTCAAGAAACAATGAATGCTATCATGAGAGCTTTCCACAAAACAAGTGTTCAAAGCCTATCAAAATCTGCTGTGGGATATAAAATCTTGATAGTCAGAGTGATGTGAAGCATTTAGCCATAAGAAGATTTAAATTTAAATTGCTTCAGATTGTGGATCAGTGTTTTTACTAATTACTTACAGATTAATCCACTGAAAGTGTGTTGCGGATGGAAGTGGTTTTGATACTACATGATTAACAACTGACTTGACTTATCTGTAAACAAAAGGAGAAGGTTTATTCCAGACAATTCTTTCAGCATCTCTCTTTTGGAAACAATTTCTTTTTATAGGTATTTGGGATTATTTGCCCTGCTACAGTAGTTTTGAATGATTTCTGGCAAGCACTGCTAGAAAGATGCATTTAACATCTGAGGAAATAAATGCATCTGTGACCAGGCTGCATCAGATTTCCAGGAAATATGTAACCACATATGATGTCTAGAAGATTGCTAAACCTAACTGTAGTTCACCAGCACTAACTCCTTGTTTGCAGGACTACTTTAAATATGGGGATATTAAAGAGCCGTTAAGAACAAATGAGATTAATTTTAGCTTTTTGTGCCATTAGTGCAAGAGAAGCTTGGGCTGATGAGCAATGCAGAATTATATTTTTATTACATTTTAAATATGTGTATATATAAAATGCAAAGGTATTAAATATTTTTGAATCAAGTTCATCATTTAAATGAAGAAGCTACTACATTCCTTAGAATGATCCACTCAGTTTGCATAGTGCTGTTCTGTTTTGTGAGAAATTCTGTCTCATCCCCAATGCCTTCCCCTGAGTGTAGCACTAGTGTAGATTACAGTGAAAATAAGAGCATTAAAGAAAAGACAGAATCGTACAGCATAGGAAGATGAAAATGGCTCATTAAATTATAAAATTCTGATTTTTTTCCTGAATTCAGGTTATTTTTGATGCCTTTAAAAGGCGTGGTCCCAGTGATATTGCCTTGGATGACACTGGCCTGACGAAGGGAAAGTGTAATGAAGACAATTATGTAGAGCCAACTGTGAGGCCAACTGCTGCTACCACCCCATTAGTTCCCAGTAAGTAAACACCAAATCACTATTGATTTCCTATTGCTGTATTTGTGTTTGAGTGGGTCAGAATTTTCAACCTCAGTTTTATAAAAAACTTGAGCATTATAATGTTATCTTCAGGATAACACACTAAGATCAAGATCCATGCCTCTCCAGACAGGTTGTACAGCTTGATCCAGACCCTTCCAGCTGCAGAGTATTTTAGACAAAAGCACAGAGGTTTAAGCTTCCTCAAAACATTCCAGTTTCACAGAGCTAAACAGGAACATCTCACAGCAAAAAAACTCAGAGAAAATACCTGTAACTATCCTTATAAATCTGGATAGCTTATATGAAAGAGAGAAGAAACATGGTATATGATGTTAAACAAGTCCAAGCACTTTCAAAGCAAAAAACAAGTATAAATAGAGCTTGTAGAAAAAATCATTAAAATATCGGTTGGGGCTTGCTTTGTAATTTATTCTGCAAGTGGATGAAATTTTGGAAAAAAATATTTCTACAAAAGGCCTATTCAGATATAGCTTCAAATCATTAAAGCAAACATTGAACATGTTCCAGGACTGCATTATATTATATTTGCTGTGCCTTTCAAAGCACAGCTGGTTTCTCTCTTGACAACATAAAAAAACTTTAAAAATAGTCTAAATGGTCTAAAATTAAAATAATAGTAAGACTGTTCACATTGTATCCATGTTGAAACACTGTATAGTGTTGTTATTCTCTCAAATCTGTCACCTCCAAATCTACTGCATCAGGACAGGTAAGCAAAAACCTTCTAAATGGAAGAGTAAAATGCAGTTTTAGAGCTCCATCATGAGACACAGGGAGGTAAAGTTCAACAAGGTGTGTCTGTCAGCAAAATGAAATTTTAATAACAGCTGTAATTTCAGTCATAGTTTCTCAAAATGAGTTTTAGAATTCAATAGCAGTTTTTATTAAAGTAATCTTGTGGAGAGATGCTGATGTCTGCCCCCTCCAGCTAACCTTCAGGTGCTATGGGTAAACACACCTCACAAATTAGCACCAGTCTAATGATTAGTGGGAGAACAACCCTGTGGTAAACAGTAGCTGAGTGCTTCTGAGAAACACCAAAGGAATACCAAACTATAGATCTCTACCCAGTGCATGGTCATAATCTTTTAGCATTCGAAAAAGGGACATGGTAATATGGCTTATAACTCCTTATGAAAGAGATTAAAGAGATCCATGATAAAAAATGACAGTCTAAGCAGTTGCTGGGGAAAAAATAACTTGCTTTCATAATTTTAATGGCACATGCTGCTACATGCTATCTGTAACCTGATGGAAAAAAAAAAAAAGTGAATGTTATCAATCATCTTCAAAGAAGTACGAAATTACTTTGATGAATGTGTACAAGCTTACTAACACTAATGATTTCACTACAAATGTCATATCCATAAACAAGACATAAAAGAATTTGAGCTGAGTCAATTTCTTTTACTAGAATTTGAGCTTCAGTACAAGTCACTGGCACCATTCACAGTGCCACAAAAGCTCCTTGAAATGTAAAAAAGGGCATTTCTAATGGTGGCATGGAAAAGCCAGATTTGCTTTTGTCTTTTGTACAAGTCTGTCACCTTTCACTTTCATCTAAAACAAAGATTGCTTTCATCTTCCTGTTAATTTGTAATCTATCTTTTAACACAAACAATGGTGTGGAAAAGACAGTGTACACTCCACACTTATGTCAATATAAACTGAAGTTTTGGCAAAAGCACAGAGATACAGGTCATATATCATTTCTAAAATGTTGAGAAAATCATCTGTTGTACTCAGCCAAGATTGTTGGTAGTGATTACTGCTTGGTTCTCTAATAAGTAACAGCTGTATGAATAACTCCATATGAATTTATGTTCAAAGATCACTGGAAACTTTTAAAACATTATTTCAGGACATGAGTAAATTCAATTTCTTCTCTCATTTTTCCATGCTAGACAAAGATCACTACTAATGTGCCTTACGTGTAGTCAAGACCAGATCAGATTTCACATGCCATAATATTCCATTTAAAAAACCCAGTGTAATCTTTATCTGTTGTCCATGGTATTTATAGAAAATAATCTTCCTTGTGAGCCATATGGCTGAAACATAATATAATTATTAGTCAGGATGAGATTGTTAACAGTTCCTTTTCCTTTCTGAGCTTTCAACTTTTCTTGCCAGGAGTGATTCAGTGAAATAGAAAGTTCTAGAAAATGGCTGTTATGAGGAAGTTCAAGTTTTTCTTGGTTTAGGGGGTTTTGGGTTGTTTTTTTTTAGCTTTCTCCCAGTGGGATTCAGTGGTCAGACTTGACTTGTAGATTATGCAGTCCCCAACCAAAGGGCTCAGAGTGTGAAATCAGACATCATGGCATGCAAATTTGAGCCTTAAGGGGTGGGGAGGAGAGAATTAAAGTTTAGCCAAAATCTGAGTTTAAAAAAAAAGAAAAAATAAATGAAAACACAACAATTTTACCTCAAGGAATAAAACATTTAAAAAAGAACCAAAAAAACCAAACAAAAAAAAAATAAAGCCAACAAAAACCAAAGAAGGTAAAGCTGTTTTGCCTTAACTACAATTTCCTGAAGCAAGTGGAGGAGCACTATTCATTTTTGAATGAAGTAATTGTGAAAAACAAAATTGGGAAAACAGCAAAGTTCATCCTCACGGTTCATTTAATCATTCTGATGGCTAAAATGAAAAGAAATAATATTTCTCAATACCAAGTAAAGTGTTTGAACATTTAGCTGACATATTTGGGATGTAAAACCACCATCAAAATTATAATTGAAACAGAATATTGACTATATAAAGTACAGTTAGCTGTGTCCATGTTGTGAATGCATGTTTATGTGTGTACATAGATCTACTATGTTTGCTTTTACATAAATTTTATTAATTTTTACCTGTAAATACATACACATCTTTATGACAAAGGTCTTTCCTACTAGAACAGTTGTTTTAAGGAAGAAGCAAATGGCTGGTTTAACCACTGACAAGGTTTAGCTGTAAAAGGTTTTGGGGTCCTGAAGAAAAGAAAGGAACAGTTTGTGGCTTTTTGCTGAAAGTTTACTTGCTAGATGACAAAAGGAGCTTTAGATTTGAGTATCTGTGCTGATGCTGCAAGAATAATTTCTCCACCAAAAGAGTGGTCAGTCATGGGAAGGGCTACCCTGGGAGGTGGTGGAGTCACTGTCCCTGGAGGTGTACGGGAAGGAGCTAAACGGGGCACTCAGGGCATGGTCTGGTTGACGAGGTCCTGTTGATCAAAGGCTCGACTCAATGGTCTCAGAGGTCTTTTCCAGCTTTAATGATTCTGTGATTCTGAGACGGATCAGATAACAAGAACGGCATACAAGCAAAGTGCATGAATTGGTTGTATTTGGAGGCCTCTCATATTCTCTAGCTTTATTACTGTAAATGAGACATATGACTGTATCACATTCTTCTCTTAATATTTCTGTTATGGTTACAGTGTGCAGACCAATAATCATGAATATTACTTTTAGAAATTATCGTTGTTACCACAGATTAAAAGATTAAGACAGCAGGTTAATTATGTTTTTGAAATGTTGTCTTTTTCAGCTGACTGTGGAGGGCCAGTTGAACTCTGGGAGCCAAACAATACATTCAGCTCTGCAAATTTTCCAAACAATTACCCTAACTTAGCTTTTTGTAAGTAATTCTTTTCCAAATCTTCAAGAGAAGTTTAACCATAGAAAAGTAGAGATACTAAATCTGCTTTTCCAACTCTGACACTGTCAAACAAAAAAAAAAAAAAAAAAAAAAAGATCCAAGGTATATACAGTAGGATCTTTTAGCTGTATTCTATGTGGTACTGAGCAGAAGCTAAAGAAACACATGCCAGGAGATTAAAAAGGGATGAAGACAAGCATAATCCAATGGAACAGGTACAGACAGGCCAATTCCATCCTGGCTATTATGTCAAATGTCTTTATGTCAATGCAGCAGCATACAAGGTGATGAAAGTCCCCATTTTACCATAACCTGGTGTATTATATGTGCATGCATTTTGTAAAGAATCCTCTATTTATTGTTTCTTAACATACTAGTGAGAAGACATTGCTATTCCACTGATGTTACTTGATTTAGATTAAATGAGAGCTGGCAAAAGTGAATGCTTCAAGGTAGTTCACTATGTCTTGTTGATGGATAAAGCAAGGAAGAGAGCATTGTCATTGCTTCTTAATGAAATTTTAATTATTTATTCCTTCAATCCTGGAGAATTGTGCTGCTATGGTAATCATAAGAGTTGCCATTTTGTGTTTCTGTTCTGCTTGAGATATGGCTCACTTTTCCAGGATTCATTCCACAAGTACCCAAATGAGATTCCTGCTAGTGAGAAAACTCTTTTCACTCCATGAGAATATATTTTTTTTTACTTTCTTTACAATATTTCTATAGTATCCACACTTAACTATGAGAAAGTATAAGGCTAAACAGAAACAAAGACCTATTTTAACTTCAAAGACAGGCTTCTGTGACTGATTATAAAAATTATCTTACTATCAAATGAGACTTAAGTGACAGGACCATTTGTCACATTGCCACTGTCAGAAAATAATGAGATTTACTACCTTGGGGAAACTCAAAGCTGACATGAATGATTAAAAACACACGTGTATATGTTGCAGAAGCCTAAAATTAGTTTTCAAAAGTGTTTTAAGAATAAGAAACTATAGAATTTTTGATCTTGACAGCTTTTAAATACAAGATTTAAACTTCCTAATTTCTTGGGTGATTATTAACAATTTAGGAGATTCCCCGCCCTCCCCCCCGCCCCCAAAGCCCTTCAAGAGGAAAATGGCAGAGTGAATGTAACTACTGAAAAGGTGATTTGTATATGTGTGTGTGTGTTACTATTTTCCAGGTATGTGGTACTTGAATGCTGAAAATGGAAAAAACATCCAACTTCATTTTCAGTTTTTTGATCTGGAAAATATTAATGATGTGGTTGAAATCAGAGATGGCAGAGGACCAGATTCGTTACTTTTGGGCAAGTAGCAGCAGTGGGTACTAAAATGAATGTAATCAGACAGCTGGAGAAAACTGTTGGATATAATATCATGGAAATTAAATTCCTTTCATTTCATTTGCATTTTTTGGGCCTCATTTCAGAGGAAATTCAGAGGAAAAATTGAGAAAGCATACTTCATGTGACATCAGGTTTCCAAAACATTTGCACACACTCAGCTCTCTTTGCAATCCATGTGAAATTAACTTCTCAGTGAATCAGACTGTTTATGTGTGTGGACAAACAGATGGAAAATCTCTCAGCTGAACCTTATAGTTTTATGCTGATTAGTCAAATCTGGTGTTGGGGTCTGACCACGGCAGTCTGAGTTAGGTTTGGGAGAGCAGCTACATCCCTGTGGTGGCAGTATGTGCTTTTGAACCCAGAACATTCTGAAATACATATGAACAAAATAAGTTGAATGTACTCATGTTTTCCTGGTGAATAGCTGTCTACACAGGGAAAGGCCCACTGCCAGACATCTTCTCTACAACAAACCAGATGACAGTCATCCTCCAGACTGACAAGTCTTCAACTGGGAAGGGATTTCTTGCAAACTTTACTACTGGCTACCATCTAAGTAAGCATCTGAACCTTTGTATTTAAGAGGTTAAACCAGTGGCCAAATGTATTTCAGAAAATGTGGGGTGGGGAGTACAAAGTGACTCTTAGCACTTTCACAGTATCAAAAATGCAAATGTTAAAGAGAAAAAGGCTGGTCACTTATCTGTACTTTATATTTCCTGGCAGGAAAAGTGATGGGTTTGTTTCTTAGTGTAATTGGAGCAATGTCTAGATCATGTGCAACTCTGTGATAATACGTGGAAAATTGACTCAGTATTTTGACCAAAATATTTTCAGATGTTAAGAGGGCAAATAGTAACTATTCCCTATAAAAATCCCAGTAAAAAGCACCACTTTTAAAATAATTTCAGGGTGTCATTAAAGTATGTTTAAATGCATTTGTAAAATATTTACTATTGATAACATGTACTAGAAGAGAAAATATACCACTGCATGTGGTAACTCTGATCAATATTTGTACTATGGTCCTTCTTGCATCTCCAAAAATTTGGTCTTCAGTGTGTGAATAACCTGAGAAGAACTAGTCTCTTAAATATTTGGACAGCAGTGTTTCTGGTTCCAGCCAGATCCCTTCTGAAAGACTCTTGATTTTTCTTGGGGACTGCAATTAGACTTGTCACTCATAATTCAGCAATCAACTCACCAAAAAATGCAAACTTAAGCATAATGCAAATTACAAGGAACAGTAATAAACTTAGCAGGACAAATAATTATACAAACTCTAGGCCAAATCTTGACTGAATTAATTAGAGGCTTTGTATTACTTCTGTGGAAGTCTGACAGGACAAAAACAGAGAAAGAAAAAGCAGTATATATTGAGAGATGTGTGAAGTACTGTACACTCACATGAACAGAAGATCAACAAGGATCTACGCTGTTTTTCTTACTTTAACTCAGAAATGCCAAGTTTCTCCCAGCTTGTTTAGTCAGGGGCAGATTTTTCATGGATTCACAGTAGTAACAATAATATTACTTTTCTTAATATTTTTTAAAATCTTCACCTTTGGTCTACATTTGTAAAATTAATTCTGTTTAATCCCATTGTGCAAGATTGAGATGTTAGTTTAAATGTCCATATGACAATTTTACTGCTTCTTGTTCTGCCTTCTCAATCACATTTGTTCAGTCCAACAACTCTCTGCCTTTTTCTTTATTAGCTGGTTCAGCAACTTTGCTGGGCCAGCCTTGCCCATACTTTGTAAAATGAAAATTAAGCTTAAAAAGGAAGAATTCTCTGAGTTACCATTGCCAGTTCTGGTTAAATATATTTTAAACATTCCATTTGCAAAAGAATTATGCTTATTCATCATCTTTGCAGCCAAAGGAGAGAGACTAATATCATTAGCATGCAGGCTTAAGGACAAAAGGATTGTCAGTAAATAAATTAACTTTAAAAGAAAATCAGATTTTTCTTTGTGTTTTATTTTTTCTATGAAATATTGATTTTTGGAAAAGTAAGAATTATTTGAACAGAAATATTTTTTGGCTGGATGCAATATAATAAAAACACTTTCAATTAAGAACTAAGTTCTCTGTAATATCTGTCATTAGTTATGGACATTGAATGTGTGAAGGTCTGGTTCAAGCTTTTTATAAACCATATTCTTCTGCTTCCATTTGGTACAAACCATGTTGATTGATGAATGAATAATTTTATAAGAATATTAAAAATTCAGAAGTAAAGCAATTCTATTTCTTTACATGAGACTTCTAGATAATTAAATATTTCTGTCAGTATGTCCAGGAAGGCAAAATAAACAATTTTTTGAATTTAAGTTTATGCCTGTATATTTCCTCTAATACAAATGAAGCCACTAAAAGTACACTTCAGCTGCAGAAAGAATTATAACTTTACATTTACTCTCTCCCTCATTTGTTTTTATTGTATAACTGATTCTGAAGTAGCTTAATCCTACTTTTCTGAACACTTTCCTCATTCATCCAGTTTTCTTTTGTTTCTTCCACCTTTCCTAACAAACACATTTCAGAAGGAGACTCAGCTCTCATTGCCTCTTTGCTCATATGCTTGACTTGACAGAGTTTAAGGTCTCTAAAATTTGTGAAAGTGCTGAACATTTGATATTTGAAATCATTAGTCACTTTTGACAGGATTTGACTTTTCACTCCCATGTTTATCACTTGCAATGGAAGACTACTAACTGAGCAACACTAGCTAGAGCAGAAAGTACAAGGCAAAGTACCACAGATTTTATTCTTAATTATCTTCTATTTACCTGAAAATTATATTTATTTTGAAAGAGAAATGGATGGAAATGGAAAGAAAAAGAAATCAAAGGCTCTTCATACTATCTACACAGTTTTCTTCAGGGGAACTGTAAAATCTCCTGTGAACATCAACCTTTCTCACAACCACAGATTAATTTTCCTCTCTTGTTTCCCTTTAGGGGCTTGCAAAGTTGATGAGCATCAGTGCGGTAGTGGGAAATGCATCCCATTGCACAACCTATGTGACCACGTACCTCAGTGTGAAGATGGCTCTGATGAAGCAAAATGCAGTAAGGTTTTCTTCATACACAGAAATCATAGAATCATTTAGGTTGGGAAAGATTATTAAGATCATCAATTCAAACCATAAATCCATCACTGCCAAGTTCAATGATAAAGCACGTCCCTCAGTGCTACATCTCCATGTCTTTTAAATCCAGGGATGGTGATTCCACCGCTTTTCAAGCTGACATGCTTAGCAACCCTTTTGGTGAAGACATTTTTCCTAGTATTGAACCCAAGCCATGCATATTTGGCAGGAATTGCCTAGGAAAACAGCCACAGAAGCTCAGCTAATGTAGACCACCGCAGATGCACACAGGCTGTGCCAGTTTGCATAGCAGTACCTCACTGAGTTTGTCAGGGCCAGGAAAACAGTCACTATTCTGAGATAGTGTATGAAATCTGGTGAAGAACTCTGGAAAAGGTAGGAAGCTTCTCTGTGCTGAAAACTGCAGTTGTTTATAATGGCCTCAAAAGTAAATGAATGATCAACATATGCTTTTCTTCTGTATTCATTTTGTATTTCCAAATTATACCAGGTTTTGCTTAATTAATTAGAATTTCACAGCAGTAAAAATTCTGCAGTGCAGAGCAGAGAATAAACAAGTTCTTGGTGGAAATTCCCAAATAGTTTTGTGAGTGTGAAACCAAACTATTACACATGGCACCCTCCAGCCCACCTGGACTCCATGGGGTGAATGGATGGCACAGCTTCAGAAGCAGCATCCATTGTTCACTGCTATTCCTTACTTCTCTGGTAAAGTGGTTCTTTCCAAAATGCATGTGTACAGTATCTAAATTCATTTTACATAGCAGGGAAATAAGATTCTCTAAACCAGTAATTTAAGTATAGGACTAATGACAAAGTCATGTTTGGCCTAGCACAGCATTTAAACTGTTCTTTCTGACAATCTACTTTGGAGAACTAATGGAGGATTTAAAAGTGGTCTTAAGCTTAGCACAATTCCTTTATTTTAAAGAGCTCTACTAGGGATTAGATATGTTTTTAGTGTGTTCTGACAGTCCACAGATTTAAACATTTTTTTACATGCATATATACAAAAATATACATGGCATATGTAAATGCATGCAGATAGATGACAGATAGATAGACAGACAGGATAGATAGATAGATAGATAGATAGATAGATAGATAGATAGATAGATAGATAGATAGATAGATAGATAGATGGATGTCTGAAGACACAAATTCACTCCTCAAATTAGTGCCATTGGCAATTTTGTGGCAAACACATTCTTCCTTTAAAAAACATAGAATAAAATTCACTTCAGTTTCTTCTTAAGCAAAGAAAACTTGAATTTATTTTTCCAGTCATTGCTGAAGAAGATCTGAACAAGAAAACCATCACCTACATTAACATGATGGACATTTTCTCAAAGATTTATTTTGCCACTGATTGTCTATTACTTCATAACAAATTACCTCACATGAAAAGCCTGGGAGATTTGTTTCCAAAAACCCATTTAATCCAAACTTTGGCTAAATTGATCTATGTCTTGAAACAAAATGAAAATTCAATTAGAAACTCTCACATTGAGTCTTTCCAGTGCCCAAAAGCCTTGCTCATTTTCCTGAAACCAATTTCAATGACTTATCAGAAGTGGCAACTTGAACTAGACAAACTGTCTTTTCAAATCTTCCAACTTCTGAAACTTCCAGGGACCGCAAAGAAATGCCAAAATTCTAAAATATATGATATCTGAATTAAGTAGTTGTTGGATCCTCAATGACTTCATTATTCCTTACCAATAATGTATTTGAAGAACATGGATCTGATGAGGAGAAAGGAAAAGGACTTATAGTTCAAGTTCTCTCAAGAAGAGAGGTGTCAAAACTAACTTGGAGAAATCTTGCAGTGCATACAATTCCAAGATATTTAAGAAGCTCAAAATTTCATTTAATTTAATTTCATTTCATTTCATTTCATTTCATTTCATTTCATTTATCAGTATAAATCACCTCTTCAATTCACAGACTCCTTCAATTCACAGAGGCATTTCTAAAAATTTAAATGTTTTATTTACTATGGTGGGTACTCTATTTGAAAGCATTTTGGCAGAAAAAAAGTTTTTTGCACAAGAAAGATTTTTTTAAAAAAGATATTTTGGAAAACAATAAATGTCAGTGCACTGCATGCTTTTCTCTACTTCACCATGGCAATACATGCAATCTGCCTAAAATGCAGCTGTAGCTGCTAAGACATATATGAGACTCTGTTGACATTATTATATATACATTTGAGATTATATAATAAAATTCTTATTTTATATATGTGTGTATGCAAGAGATTCTGTTGGCCATACAGTCCAACTTCCTTAGTCACTATGCCAATAGCATAAGACTTTTTACCAATAAGTTAAAGAGTTTCTGATTTCTTATTCTGAATATTTTGTTTTGGGAAAATTTTTATAGAAGGACTGGTTTTTCAGCAAGCATGAATGTTTTAACTAAAACTGCAGTGAAAACAGTAGCAATTGGAACTGTAAATCTATTTTTTCTTTGCCAACACTCATTTTAACTTTATTTCCAGTCAGTATTACTGAGCATCATGGAACTAAGGCTTCACTCATTATTTGGAAATTATATAATGCTGACTAAGAAAAAAATGCATTGTTTAGAGTTAATGGAAAATGTACTGTTTATTGTCTATTTCTGAGACATTTGCAAAACACAAGGTATGAATATCTCCTGTGGCAGAAATATATGAAATAACAATAGCATTTCCTTCCTGTGGGAACACAACATCCTGGAAATGCTGGGTTTATTACCTCTGTAACACATTTTAACTTTTTTTGTGTTCTTCATTGGCAAAAATAAATCTCTTTATATTACATTTCTGTTTGCTTGGGATGGGGGAGGAAAGTGGTTTGACACCTATCTAAAATGCTTCTGCCCCTTTTGTTCTCCAGTGAGATTACTCAATGGCTCTCTGAGCACCGAAGGGCTGGTGCAGGCCAGGGTTGGGAAGATGTGGCATCTGGCATGTGCAGATGATTGGAGTGGAGATATTTCAGACAGGGTTTGCCAGCTGCTGGGGTTGGGGTGAGTGATAAATATTCATTGTCCTTTGTAACTTGTTTGCAGATTTGTTGAATGTATATTGGCATTTTCCTCCTCATTTTACTGGTGTACTCTCCAAAAAAATGGCAAAATGTATCTGTCTCTGTCAAGTGGAGTGCTTGGTGTGCCAACAAATTTGAGAATGTGGCAAACGCTGTCTTGATGACATTCAGTACAGGATTGATGACTCTGAACATGGCAGGTTGGGCATGAGGATACATATTGGAGAACATTGGGAAAGGGTTGTGGATGCATCACCCTTTTATCACTTTATGTCATCATTTACATCCTCACTTTCATAAGGATGGCTCAAGAGTAAAGCTGGAGCCAACAGCAGCCTTGGCTGCTCTGCTTTTGTAGTGCTGCTGTTCATTCCAGGTAGAGATAACCACTTGGATATTCTGCTGCTGGGCTCCCAGTACTTTTCATACCCATCATTAGATCTGAGCTCTTGGGAGAGGAAATGGAATTTCTCTTGAGATAGACTTAGAGCAGGGATGGAGTAGAGAAGTATATAGCAGAAAAATAGATTTGGCTTTAGTCCCTGTTCAGAAGAATTTTCAGGGGAAACGTGGAGATTGTTGAGTGCAGGGTGTTGCATTTTTCAATCTGTGGTAAAATTTATGGCCTAAATTTTGGCCTTACTTACATCATGCGCTACTCCACTTCCATCCACTAAATTATAATTAGCTTTCCTGCAGTGCTGAGGTTTCTAGGGAATGTCACTCACCCAACTAATAATCAAACTAAATTCTGAGCTTGCAATTCATTATTTTGGTCTGTGACCAAAGAAAGATGCTTACAAATTCCCTTCTGATAAATTCATTGCAGCAATCACAGAGTTAGAATGACTTAGAAAAATATCCAAGTATTATTTCAGAAATGCTTCTAATTGGATGAATGTCTGCTGGTTTGTTGGGTTTTTTACTTTTTTCCTTTGGGTGAGTAGTGGGTTTACATAAAAAATTAGGTAGCTACATGCAGAAATCCTGACTGTAATTTATGCACATATGCATGTAAGTACATACAAACTGTGTGTAATTGTGCTTCTGGTCAAATATCTTGTTCCTTAAAGTGGCCAGTGCCCTTCTTCCCCTGATTCTTTCTGCCCCTGCCCTGCATTCTTTCCCTTCTGGACAGAAGTAATTTTGTGGTTTACTGATTTAATTGACATATTGATAAGCTTCAACAAGCTTTGCCTTCCATGGCATTTTAACTTTTAAATATCAGTTAATGCTTTTCTTCCCCATAACATTCTGCAACAATATCTTTCAGGTTGTCTCTATAAACTACTCAGGTGCACTTACTAAAAGAGTTCCTATCAAGCTTCCTAGTAATTTTTTATAATTCCATTTCCCATTGTCTAGAATAAAAATATTTTTAAACTTAACTTGTATCACATTTTTGTAACCTGGTGCTACTGCAGTTACATCATAGGACAAAATTCTTATATGGGTGTGAATATATTTATGTATGTATTAGAATATATATATGTGTGTGTGTGTGTGTGTGTGTGTGTGTGTGTGTAACTTCTGTGAGCATCACACTATTCTGCTTTCCTTGAATCCCCCTGTAGCAGCATATTTCTTAATAAGCATCAACATATTTGTTACTAAATGGATGTTTGCAATAGTAGGTCCTGAGTAAGCTGTGGCTCATGCTCCTACACTGAATTACAACCTAGAATCATGTTTTATTAGAAAGACGGGCTAAAGTTCATCTAGGACAATTTAGTTTCACTATTAATTGCTTATACCTTTGCTAGTCTCACTTTCTGCTTAATTTATGAAAAGGACTGAGCTGATAGGAGTCCTGTATCATATCCTGATTATTTATGTACCTGGGCTACAAAGTGCAATGTTCCTCACAGGTTCTAGTAAATCTCAGTGTGAATTCTTTTGCTTCCATTTCTTAAATATGTGATTGTTGCCTTTATGATTTGTACCAAACAAGAAGCCACTCTGGGGACATTCTTCTCGTGCATCTACAAAATACACCTTAGGCAAATAATTTACAAATCTTCCTAATGAGTCTGGGCTGCAGGATGAACAAACTGATGCTCTGGAGAAACCTGAAAATAATCCTTTGCTCAGCTTGCACTAGTAGCTGTGTGCATCTGACAGCTAAAATCTGACTGCTAAAATCTGTTGTCAGCATCTTACTTCCCGGAACCAAGGAAATCACACACTGAGCTTTTCACCATTGCATTGGGCAGATGCAAAACAATCCTGTTTCCCTGGGACCAGAGCCAGCTGGGTCTTTGCTAAATTGTACCTAGGTATGGGGGTAGACCTGTCAATTTTATCACACCTGAAAGTCCAACAAGTGTGAGAGTTTTTAGGCTTTGCTCTGCAACCCTTCATTCTATTTTCTTCATGAACTTCAGAAGGAAATTAGTCTCCTGGGGAGACTTTGCTGGTATCAGCAAAGTTCTTCATCATAGAATTTGACTCTGCCTACCTGGCCTGGCACTTTACTGCTCCCTCAGACTGTCTAAAAGCACTTCCAGGCTGAGAAATGCATCAGTAGTGACTTTTCCAGCAGGTGGATCATACAACTTTCCTGGTGGCACAGAAGGGTTGTCAAACACCTCTTTACTTCATACACAGGAGATTTGCAGGCAGATTTGCAGGCAGATTCCAGACTTCATCCTTCCCAGGAGAGGGAGATTTACTGCATTTGAAGAATAGGCACAGTGCAGGTGCTCCCTGTGTACTAAACAAATGGTTCTCTTCTTGTTCCTGATGTGTAAGGTTAAAGGGCCAGATGGGAGTTTGTCATCCCCCCAAAAATTGTTCAGTCTATTCACAGCTATCTTTTTTCCCCATGCTTCCTCAAGGGAAAGCAAATATGTTTCATAGATATGTATTCCAAACTGGTCAGATGAAGTATCACAAAGAGCATGATGCAGAACATACTACAAAGTAAATCTGGATATGGGTTCTAAATGTCAAAACAATTTGTCTCACAAATAGTACACAGAATTCTTAGTTCAAAAAGCCATTGCTAAAAAAAAAAAAAAAAAGTTAATCCAAGAACAGACTAATTGATTCCTTTAAATTGACTACATGACCTTTAAAGGTGCCATCCAACCCAAACTGTTCTGTGATTCTGTGACTTTATGAATACACCCCACTCTTGATCAATAGCAAACATGACACTATTGACTTATTCCACAGCCACTCTGATTTCAACAGATCTATGAGGTGAAAATTAACTTTTTTTTTTTTTACTCCATTAGATTCTTCTTTATACAAAACATAATTTCATTTCTTTCCTAGACAATATAGTATAACTGCACCCCTCAAAAAAGCGAGACTGTGATACCCCAAGGTTCAGCTATTACTGCCCTGTTTGGCATACTGAGTTTTAGCTCCATACATTTAACTGGTATTTCAAACCCTTCATTGTGGCACAGAAAAACAAAACTAAATATTTACTGCTGTCAAATGAATTAACTAATATCCCTTTCAATATTAATGTAGCATTAGAAATCTTAGAATAAGATGTAAGACTGGAAGTAAGTGATTCACATTTTAATCCAAATGAGTTTCAAGCCTCAAAAATCCCCTGCTAAAGGGTCATTATTTGAGGAGAAGAAAAAAAATTAAAAGCTGGTGTTTAGTCTATCAGCATAATCATTTCCCAAATATTGCTCCAATGGTGGATTAGGGTATATATCTAAAAATATGCATGTATCTTTTTGTCCTAGAGCTGCAAATATGTCATCACCTGTATTATTCACTGGAGATGGCCCATTTGTCACCATCACCAAAGGAGGTGACCACAGCCTAATTTTTACAAAAAGGTGGGTACAGTGAGGTTTCTTCCTCATACAAACAATGTCTTTAAGTGTTGTGATGATTATTTATGCACTAATATATAGCTCAAATCCTAATTGACATCTCTATGCACTTACTGTGGAAATTATATACTCTTTTATGAAAATATTTCTTATCTAGAAATCTATAAATTATGAGTACATAATATAGTAGAATTAAGACTACCTATATATAATACAGAAGAATTAGGATGGAGTGACATTCACCCATAGTTATAGAGTAGTTGTCACAGTAAGGTCTATCTGTAATCAGCAGAGAAAAATAAGCACTCCAAAATGTGATCCATCAAGGCGTCTCTTGAAATATGATGAGTCACACACTATAGTCCTTTAACTTTATTGATATAGACTTTGGACACACTGAGGATTGCTAATTTAAGCCATCTACAGACAGTAATCTATATTTAAACAAACTATTCCCACTCAAAAAATTACTTCTGGATTTGTCTCCACCTTTACAAGTGAATCATTAGATGACATGATCCTCAGAATACATTTGATTCTATTCTAACCTTTCTCAGTCCAAATAACTGCTGAAGAGGTTCTGAAGGGTACTAGAAACTGGTAATTTCTTGTAGATTAAGTGAAAATGTGATATTAGCCCAGGATTACATCCTCAGGAAATGGTGCGATTTACAACACAACTCCCAAGCAGAAAGGCTTGCCATCATCAGTTTAAAGAATTGTAATGACTTCAGTTATTGTTTTCTGTTTAAAAGAGGCTTTACTGTATAATTTTTTCTGGATTTCTACCAAAACACTGAGCCAGAAAATTACTGTCTAATTGCTAAAATGCTGAAACCATGTTGAGGACAGCAAGAGTCCATGCTCTTTCAGTTTCCCTTAATAAAATACCACATAGTAACAAAGCAAGAGACATGTCTTAATTTTCTATGGTCTATTATTTTGTCTACACGAAAAAAATAATTAAAAGTTATATTTTATGTTCTAATTATACTCTGTTAACCCCAAACATTTAACATTCTCATGAGTGGTGAAAGTATCTTAAACTAATGGAATATCATTGGAGGCTATTTTTCTTTTTTTCTTGAGTGAATATCTAAACCAACATTGCCACAAGACATCTTGAAGAGCAGTAATGATTTAAAGATGTCTTCTGTTAATACCTACTAAACTCTAACAGTGATTAAAGCAGGAGGAAATGGAATAAGTTCATTTATCTTAGTCGCATTTCTGTTGCAGAAATAGTGTCTTCTCCCATGTTTCATCCGGAGAGCTGATAGGAATCATTTTGCAGGGTGACACTACTGCAGATTCACACATGGTTTTTCTACATATAATGAATGCTAGAAAGATCACACAGATCTGATAATTTAAGCAACTGAATTCATTAACTGGTAATCCAATTATAAAATGCATTTCTCACATTGTCTTTGTTTTTTTATTCAAGTGCATCCACCATTGAAACAAAGGAAGGCACATATAATAGGGCTTGAAATCTGCAGTGAAAGAGACAGCAAAAGAATTCTCTGGTGCCCTTAGGTAATGTGATTTTTGGCAGGATAGCTTTGTAAGAGCCCCAGATCCTGCCTTTTTGATATATGTGAGCAGATTCCACAGGGACTAATTGTTTTTGCCAGTTCTAAGTGAAGATCATACTCACAGATATCCTAACTACTCCAGATTTCTGCCTGGCGTGCTGCTTGACAGCTTGACACTCAGAGAGGCACAGAGGCACTTGCCTCTGGTGCCTTTTGGCCACTCCTGCGCAGACCAAGAGGCAGATGAGAACTGTTGGGCTGAAGTGCAGGCAAGGAAGTGCTTCTCCTGCTGGGAGCTAGCTCCACAAAGAAAAAGCAGAGGCAAATGAAGTAATTTCACCAACCAGTAGGTACTTGTGATGGGACAGGCAACTCCCTTTACACTGAAAATGTAAATTTATAGGGACAATCTGATACTTTGGTTGTTAGTTTAGGTAGTTTATGCATCTACCTATGAGAAAGCATAAGATCAGATAAAAGACCTAATATACAGCACCACTGACCCCCCCTTTGAAAGCCTATGGAGGCATCATGGAAAAGAGTATTTAGTTGCTATGAAGTTTATGCAGAAGATTATTTTGGTTTCTTGCATTTTTGGTTTCTTAATATTTGTCTGGTTACAGATTTGGATACATGTCACAGAAAATGGTTTCCACTTTTTAAATTACAGCTTTAAAATTAGGTACCTACCCTGAAGTGGAAAATGGCAATGTGGGACTATTCAGGGCCAGAGGAATATCTCATTTGCACCCCACTAGAGTGAAGGTTTAACTGGGGAGGTGGTGGGTGGTTGCGGTTCCCACTTTATTTCGTGTCCCTCTGTGCCATTGGGAAATTACTGGGTCACATCTGACTCACAGCAGATATCAAATTTTAGAGCAAACACAGTGAGGTATATATCACTCCCTATCATGTTTAAAGTATCCTTCACCTACTCTATTTAAAAATGGAATGTGGAAATGCTCACTTGAAACAAACCATTGGCAGAGCTTGGTTTTCTATCTTCCCCTCATTTTTATTTCTGTGTGTATCAGATTTGAATTGCTAGCATGCACACTGTCCCAAGTGTTTCAGATTCATTACAGACTATGAACATAATATTAAAACCTCTGGGTATCAGAAATGTTTGAGCAGTTTTGATCTATGGTCTTGTGCTCTTCAGACTCTGGCTTTATACATTTGCTAAATAATTTCTAACCTAGCATATGCAACTATGTATTTTACAGTAGCATTATTTTCTTAGTAAAATGACAAGGGATATAAAACTAACCTCTTAAATTCTTTGGCTACACTGATCTCTAGTGGTAAGGTATGGAAAACATCTCAAAAGATAGGAAAAAATACCACAGGCAGCTATAACTTCTTTATTGCAAATCTGTCTCAGGCAGATGACTCATTTCCCTAAAACACAAGAGGAGTCTACTTTTATTTCCATAATATAAATCAATTAAGTGCCCACTGAAGAGGAATATGTACATTTAAAGTTGTATAACACATAATGTTTTATACTTTTAATTAAAACATAATTTAAACATGTAGCATTAGTTATTGTACTTAACAGGCTGATACTGCTAAATGAAAGTACTTTCATATATAGGATTGTATAAATTTCTCTCTGTGTGTATGCATAAATATTTGATAGTCAGAGTTATCTTGTGTGCAGATACTTGTGATTAAATTGCACTTTTATTCTAGAGAACACTGTTGGGACAACCTGGTGGTTCATCTGCAATGTAACATTCAATGTAAGTACACAGAATCCAGGAATATTTCACAAAGAGATCAAATTGTTCAGACCATAAAGCCAAATGTTTATAGTTTGAATGGAAAGGTTAGGGAATAGACTATAAATCCTATACTCATAAATGATATAAACAAAGGAAAATTTAGTCTTCACTTCATTTCAGTGTTAAGTGTACACTAAAGATGGATCTGTAGTGAAAACATTTATAAAATAACTGTATAAAAATTCCAGAAGGTCTGAGGAAAGAAAACATCTAAATCCAACTTAGAACGTTGCTCTTGATTTCAGCTATAAAAACCCAAACTTTTTTCCACAGTATTTTTGAATAGCAGTTCAGATTCTACAAAACCTTGTTTTTTTCCAAGAAAATGGGCTAGTCTAATAAAATATGCTACATCCCTTTAATTTTTTATTTGATTTGATTTGATTTTGCTTTATCTTAGCTTGTGGAAAACACCTGGTAACTCAGAATAACGAAACAAGAATTGTAGGTGGAAATGATGCCAGAAGAGAGGCTTGGCCTTGGATAGTTTCACTCCGTTTTAATTTGCGACCTGTTTGTGGAGCTTCCCTTGTCAGTGACGAGTGGCTGGTGACAGCAGCGCACTGTGTCTATGGGTAAAGTTCTTTTATGTGCAAGTTCACTAAGGAGGCATCAGATTAAGAGCAAATTGTGACACAGATATGAAAAATTCACAACTAACTCCTGATTTAATTACCACGTTTTGCATCACTTATAGGCTCACCTGAAAACTCCCTTACTTCCTGGTAAATCTTCAGTCCTTACTTTAGTGCAGACAGTTGTGGAAACCAAGCAGCATTTCCTGAACAATAAGGAATTGCATTTTAAATGCATGGTATTAATACTGAGCATTGGTACTTAATCCATAATAATTGTGGCCCTCCATAAATTGAATCCCTCTACCAGTAGTATAAAAGGTGACATCATATCCCATAAATTAAACCCAGTGTTCCTCCTACGTATTAATCTGAATTGATCAAGATTTACTGTGCATCACTGAAAAAACTCTTGATTTATGTGCATTGATTAGGCAATATTGGATATCCTCTCTATGGTGTTATTTGTACCATTCAAGGAAGTGATACATATTGAAATATTTTCTATTATTTGCTTTCATAATATCTACAATAAAAACAGATGTTGTAAAAGACGTATAGAAACTGGAATGGAAAAAAAAAAAAAAAAAAAAACCACCACAAAAACCCCACCAAAATTAGAGTAGAGCTTTCACTACAAATATCTAAATGGTAAGGCAGTGAAGACTGTGCCAAAATCCTAATGCTGCCTTATGGCATGACAGGCACTACATTCCACACAAAGACACTAAAATGAAAAGGATTAAGCCCTCTTAGTTTCCACACAATAAATCCACTATTGTCTTGGTACTTCCTTTTCACTTGAATTACCTTTCTATTTTCAACTCAATCTAATTTTATCATCTTGCCTTTGCTGGAATTTTCCTAAATTGAAGCTTGCAGTTTCACACCTTCTGAACATTTATCTTGGACACTTCTAGTTTAGAACAAAAGAACCTCTTGATGTCAAACCAAAAGATGAGCCGAAACCAATTCAGTCCAACAATCAGGCTGAAAATGTACTTTTTCAACCATAAAGTGATGGATTAAAATCCTGAAAATATTTAAGTTCTCTGATGAACACAGCCTCCAACCAGCATGTGTAGATTAAGCATATTATGCCATATTTTGTCTTAGCATATCTTGTCTGAATGAGATTAAAAACTAAGAGACTTATTTTCTGAGTCTATGAGCTGCAGCATTTCCAACAACATCTCAGACCTCTTATTCATTCAACATTCCATTACAATTTTCTAACTGGGACCAATATTAATTGCCTGCTGGGCATTCAGCAGTATTCTTCATAGTGTTTAAAAAGCCACGCTAATTTAGTTAATGTATTTTCCTCCTCTGCACCGCCAATTGATTAATTCATTATAAATAATGCATTATAAGCTCACCATAAAAAATCAGCATCGCATATCTGCAGTGTGGATGTTTAAGACAGTGATACTCTCACGGAATTCTAAGCACATCTACCCTTTTCTATTTATTTGACAAAACATGCAAATGCTAGGGATTACCACAAGGCTAAATATCAGCATTTTATCTGATACATGTTTTTCAAGACTTCCATTAATGATTCCTAATTGTGAATAATCTCCTTGCAACTTCTAGGAGACAACTAAAGCCATTCCGCTGGCAAGCAGCTCTTGGCTTGTACAGTCAGTCAGAGCTGGAACAGCCTCCAACAGTGGTTCGAAACATCGACAGAATAGTTATAAATCCTCATTACAGTAAGCAAACAAAAGACAGTGATATTGCTCTGATGCACCTTCAACACAAAGTGCAGTACACAGGTGAGTTTTTGTTTTCCCAAGAGATCCATTTATTCCCGTTTATTCCATTATGCAGAACAGTGCTAAGGATACGAGGGCGGTGGGGAGTCCGCTCAGTACTTCCTGGATATCTTGGCAAAAAGTGGGTTTGGATTAATGAATGTTTTCTGGTATGACTTCATAAAAACCTGAATACAGGGAAGAGGATGAAATTGATTGCTTGTTTCTCATTCACAGATTACATACAACCTATCTGCCTACCAGAAAAAAATCAACAGTTTTTACCAGGAATTAACTGCTCGATTGCTGGCTGGGGTGATATTAGGAATGAAGGTGGGTCATCTGCTCAGAAAATTCTGACAGAGATGTAGCTGTGAGGGGAAGTTTGTTCCTATTCCACAGGAGTTGCTAAGGTCAAATAGTTTAGAGAGCTACTCTTCCATATGAAAATTTAGGAACTATCCCATTCCACTATTCCTTCTCTGAAGCAAAATTATAGTTATAACGTATCTCTTAGAAGAAAACATGCATATCTAAGTTCATTAGGCTATGAAGAAAGCTTTTTACATCCACTAAGAAGTTATGATGACTCCTTTTCTGAACATGAAATATGTACATCTCAGTTCCAGATATTGGGTGGGGGAAGAGGAAGATTAGTCTTTCTGACAATGTGCAAATGATTTTCCCCAGAAGTCAAGAAAACTGACTGCAGTGTGAATGTATGTTCTGTTTGTATGTCAGATGCTCCAGATTTGGAGTCTCTGAAATAATAAACATGCCATTTCACTTCCACAGTTGAATACATTGACTTCTACATTAAATAGTATTTAAAATTTTGGGTAGGAATTAATAAAAGAATTTTTTTTAAAAATCTTAAATAACCAAAGTTACACAATGAATAGTGAGGAAACACTAGACAACCATGTTCCTAAGCCTTTAGTCATCCCTTAGGTGTCCCCACAGTGAGTTCATAGTCATTGATTTTAGTAATCTTGATTCAATTATAACCAAATTCAGTCCCATTACAAAAATGAAAGACAGAATTCAGTTAACGAGCCCTGTTTAATCAGAGACTGTGTTACAGGGGGATAAGCCTGAATAGTACAGCAGTAAGGCAGGGATTCCTGCTGCTCAGGAGCGTGCTGAGCATGCTGGAACAGGAACAAAACCATCAGTGTTCCCAGTGGGATGCACGTATTTAATGCTGCAGGTAACTGTACTTTGTATTTTCATCAGGTCCCTCTTCAAATATATTGCAAGAAGCAGAGGTCCCCCTCCTTTCCAATGAAAAATGCCAGCAATGGATGCCAAAATATAATATTACTGAGAATATGCTCTGTGCAGGATATGACATGGGAGGAATAGATTCCTGCCAGGTAAGTAGAAGCAACTCATTTCCACTGCTGGCATAAACTTCATCTAGTTACTGAATAAAACAATCCCTGATCCTCCACTCATGAAAACCAGAACAATCCCTGTCCATTAATGTTATTTCTACTCATGGTACTTTGCCCGTTTAATAATTTATCAGGATACAAGTTTAAATATTTTTTGTGTGTTATCTTGGCATAAACAATCATGGAGGGAGATAAATATGAGGACTGGAAATTTTTTGCACTAGGCTTTGAACAATTCCTGCTGAGCAATTCCATGAAGGAGTGAGGCACATGCTTAGAGAAATGCAGAGAACAGAGAAATAAATACCAAACAGACTGAAGTCTCAGAAATCCTTCATTATGGGAAAGACAAAGAGCAAAGCTGCTTTTCTCCAGAATCTGTAGACTCTGGAGACCTTTCCTAAGCAGACACCACAGTATTTCAGAGAGGCTGCCTTTCTGCAATGATCTATGTTCGTGTGGGTTTAGTTTTTATCCATTCCAGCTCTCTTTATAACTCACTGCTTCTCTTTGAGAATGTACTCAGAGGTGGCTGCCACATGATTTTTCTTCCAGCAATAATAGAGTCTGTGGCACGGAGACTGGCTGGCTTCCCTCAAGCCTGATAAAGAGCATTCTCACATAATTCCTATTGCCTTGCCCTACCAACCTAAGCCTTTACCATGTGCCCTGACTTTGCCCAGTTTAGTCTTGAACAAGGACTCTATTCAAGCCTAATGTCCGTTCCCCTCGTGGTTTTCCTCTTTCCCTTTTTCTTTCTGAACCTTATACTGAACAAAAACAAAACAGTAACACAAAAAAAAGAAACCCAGAACAAAACAAGAAACAATTCTATGTAGAACCGCAGGCTGATAGAGAGTACAAGTGACCAGCACTATGATCAATGACCAGTCAGCCATGAGCAAACATGAACAACTGATTCCTGATAGCACATCCCCCTTTAGGCTGCTGTCACAGCCTTTAACATTCTGGGATGCCCTAGGGTTACGGGCAGAAGTATTTTAATGGCTGAGCCCTTGCAGAATTCTCTGGTAAAGATCCATTCACAGGGCCTGGAGAAGGCACAATTAATACTGGTTCAACTAACTTGATAGACAATGAAAAACAGTAATTGCTTTCTTTCTCATCAAAACAAGACACCCACGGCTGACTCATCTCCACTCAAGCTAAATCAAATTCAGTCTCTATTACAATGCTTCGTCTGCTAAACTATTGAAAAGGAGGTGAGAGAAAAGGACACCTCTTCTGGAAATCTTGTTATTTTGTTCTCTAAATTTGAAACTGTGGAAACTCTGGGGTGACTGAAAATAGAACTGTGTTTTGGCTGAATATATTCAACTGAAAAAATCCTCCACATTTACCCAGGCTTTGTGAAATATGAAGGGCTGAACATAAAAGGAATAAGATTAAAAAAAATAAATCTCTTGAAGTCCAGTCCTGTATTGGAAGACTGATGACAGCTTAAGCTCACATCATTTAAAATAAAAAGAAAAAAAGAAATTAATCATTTCAAGATTTTTTTTTTCACATGGAAATATTCATCTTGATCTCACTTCCTGGTGTTCAGGACATACAGGGGTAGAGCATCTATGATTAGGAACAAACATCATAAACAGGCTCTGCCTGAGAGTTGACACTGTTCACTTTTAACTTTTGAATTTGTTATTGCAGGGGGATTCAGGTGGCCCTCTGACATTCAAAGATGGGGACAAGTGGTTTTTGGTTGGTGTGGTATCATTTGGTGAAGGGTGTGCACTTCCCCAACGACCAGGAGTGTATGTTCGAGTCACCATGTTTGTGGACTGGATCAAAAGCATAATCTATTAGCTTGATATTTTTTAATTATAGCAATGGAGTTTAGATGTTGAAAGTAAGACACTGCATAATGCTGTAAATTAGGCTGCTATTTCAATCTCACAGAGAAAATAAACAAATACGTAAATCTGGGTGAGGAAAACATTGGTAACTTTTGTTTGTTAATAAGACCATTTCCAAGTGAGCACAATATTTCAAAAGAGATGCTGTGGTTTTGTTAATAAATAGTTTTGTCATTTTACTTTTTGTTTTATATAGGATCTTAGGAAAACAGATTCTTTGAACATTAGTGCATTAACTGCACAGTTGAGAGCTTTACAAAGCACAGGCAGTAAAAAATGTTTGCAAACTGTAAATGCTGTAGTGGAAAAGAATCAAAATTGTTAATATCAAGTGAAATAGTATCTGGTTTATGTTTTTACATTGTGTTTTTCAATGTGCAATTTCATATTAATGCAGAGTCAACTCTTCCCAGCAATCTCTCTGCATATCAAAATGAAGGTGTATGTCCTCTCTTTAAACTGGGCTCATGGGAGTTCCTCTGCCTTGCCTATTACAAGAGGCTCTGGAGTGAGGTTTATGGATTGTGCAGAAAGGCTGACCACGGATCATGCTGCTTTCTAATGAATAAACTGAATGTCAGCCAAATGTTCTCTCTTGTGTAATGTGTTTGGAATTAATAGAGTTAAAAAAGGATTGAATAAAGCTTTTTAGTTTTCTTTCTAGGCAAGTGTTTGGCAATTATTCAGACAATTACAGAGATGTGCTTTTCCACACCCAATCACAGACTCACAACACTGCAACTTCTTCTCATAAAAAGTGATGTTTCTAAAAACATTTGACAATAATGAGTACCAGTTCTCCCTCAAGAATAATAATGCTTCCATATTACATGCTTTTTCTGTACTGGTGATTTTTAATACATGTTTTGTGCTTTGTAAAAAAAACAGCAGGGTATCCCATTACAGCATTCTAAAGGGGAAAGTATATGAAAACTAAAATAAGGGGTTTATATTCTTGAGCTCTTTTGTAAATAGGTTTCTATTAAAATATAATTACTTGCTTGTTCAAATGCCTTAAATTCTATGGTATTAGTGTAATATGATGCACTTCTTTATTTCTGTTTTCAGACCTGTGTAGGACTTTAATATATTTATCATTTCACAGTACCTACAAAATGCATTCTCACTTACTGCATAAGTAAGTGATATGTGTGATCTACACATATACACACAGGTGTTGTAAGCTCCTGGATTTGGTTCTTGCAACTCTAAATGAAGGTATGAAATGCTTGCAAACAGAGGTTGGCAGTCACTGATTAAAAAAAAAAAAAAAAAAAAAAAAAAAAAAAAAAAAAAAACCAAAAAAAAAACACACCAAGTCCCAAACTGCTTTCAGGTCTTTGTAATTAGAGAACTAGGTGACCAAAATCCACAGCTTTATCAAGATATCTGTGATCACAAAGAACACAGATAAACACAATTAATGCAGAGAGAAGGTAAGAAGGTGTTTTAGACACAGTCTCTCATATGAAAGACAGAGTTTTTTAACATTAAAATATTAGAGTTGCAAATTTTATCTTTCATAGTGAACCATTGTTTCTCCTATTATTCTAAAAAGTAGAGCATTTTCCTACCAGTATAAATTGATTGGGATAAAACAATTACATTAAAGTGCTTAAGTAAAATATGACCTGATTTTTGCATTATTTACCATACATCACTATTGTACATTGTGTTACAGTCTGTAAATAAAATATAAAAGCCAAACGAAAGAGATCCAGCCACTAGAAAATGTGCTTCAGTAAGATACAGTAAGATACTTTTATTCTTGTGCATTTTCTTGCTTTCTAAAATGCAAAGCATAGATGTATTTTGAGATGTACATTGAAAAACCACCTCATCAGACTGAAAAAGTTCTATTATGAACCCTGGCATAAAAAGATACATCATATAAACTATTTTAATTTTAAAAGCCATTTTATTTCAACTAATTATGGCTAGATAAAACTAACATAACCTTAGTCAATCACATTCTAGCCTTTCGTCAACATCCACGACTTCAGTCACCTGCAAATTAACCTGTGGAGAAACCAGTCAATACTATGTCAAAACACCTGGGCAGAACAGATTATTTGTAATTGAATCTGCTCCAAGATGCTTTGAAACAGAGGATGGATATGGTGATAAATATAGAAATATTTTGTCCCAATAGCCAATATTTCTTATTTCTACATAAAATCTGAGCACACTACAACAGAAGCACTGGATGCCACTTCTCCATCTACCTTCACACAGAGTTTGGGACAGGTCTGTGCTGATGTCTGCCTAGACATCACTTTCAATCTGTAAAAAAACCACTCCTGAAGGTATTTTCATTCTCCTAACTGCTACTTCAAAATCACTTCTGCTGCCATTAACCACGATATTGATAGTGACAACTTCAATTGTGCTTTGGAAGTAGGAAGAAATAGTTAATCCTTAAATTAAGGGGAGTTAATCCTTCAAGACCATAAAAATGAACCAAGTTATTTTTACCACAACTCTTCTCAAGAAAGAGGTCTCTCTTCCCATCAGCTGAATTAATCAACATTTATGTCAGTAGTAAAACTGGTCTTGGTAATCATGTAGGATCATAGTATTTTCTCACTGCAAAGGAAACTGAAGTAGGGGACTGAAAAAAGAAAGAAGTTCCTACTGACTGGAAGAACTATATAATATTCTAAGTAGGAATAACAATACTTAACCTGAACTACAGGAGGAGTTTTCTTTGAAAAAGAAGCAAAACCACTGCATAACAGCTTTAAGATACTTCCAAAAGTGTTTCAACAACTAATTGCACAATTAGTATTAATGGCAACTTCTGAATATTTTTTCTGTACTCACAAAAACTGAGACGTATTTGTGTCTGAAGTGATGTGGTGAACATCAGCCAGCACAGTGCAGGCAGCCCTTCAGTTCTGCTTTGGTCAATCTCTCCCCAGCCAGTGGTAGTTATCAATTTGTGTTAAAGCCAGCAAGGTTAAACTCAGGCTCTTGACCACTTGCTGTAACAGCAGTAAAATCCCTTAACTTTTGCTCTGACACCAGACTGTCACCAGCAAATCAACCAGAGTGCTACTGCCACCACCCCAGACTGCTCCTAATGACTTCTACAACCGTTCTTAAGGCACAGAAAGCTCTTAAGCTACCAAAGAGAATGGGCATTAATGATGTTAATCATAACTCTAAAAGACAGCTTTAAATGAATCACAGTTACCTCTAAATCTATCCATCAATTAATATAATTAATGTGTTTCTAGATAATAGTCTGAGTAATGTTGGAATCAATCTATGAGTGCCACTTCCAAGAAAAAGCTTTTGTCTTCTCTATGTTCCAACATTATATTATTCCTAACAAACTATTAGCTATATTTAAATGACCTTTAATGTCTTTTTTATGTAGACTTACTGAAACAGTAATTTTAATCTTAAACTCTTGCCCACTGTGATTTTTTTTCCATCAGAAAAATATTTTACTGAAATAACAACTAATAGCTGCCTTTAAAGGGCACACCATTAACAAGGTATCACTTTCCAAGTTATTTAGGTTGACACTGGACCAATATGAAAAAAAGTTATAGTCATTCCCTGGCAAAATGTTGATGAATCCTTGAATTTTGCCACTTCAGGTTGGTGTCACAATATGGTGGCTGTTTCTGTCAGCAACCATGTCATTATTTAATAAAATAATATTTGTTCCCGAGGTTCAAAAACTGCATTAAGTGTGCAAATAAATACTAAACCAATATTTTGTATCAAACTTTTATGCAAAGATAAATAATTGTTACACTGTAAAATTGTCAGTTCCATTTACTGTACATGGACTATACAATACAATGCATGAGAGACTAAAAGAAACAGAGGAGGTTTGTTTAACTACAAACAGTCTTAAAACTGACATACACTGTGGATATTTCCCCATAAAAACTTCAAATGCTCTGTTCATTTCATTGCTCACAACTAGCTAACTTACATCCCTTAGCAAAATAAACACATACCCTTTATTTAGCATGGCATATTTTGTTACTGAATTAATAAACAAACATCATATAAAAATGATCTGAACATTTGCCTCAAGGGGGAGCTTACAGTTCATTCTTGTAGATCCTTTGCATTTTCAAGCCATTCCAAGCTAATGTTCTTTGACGACATTATAATACAGCCTCACTGCAAAATGTTATTTTTGCCTCGTTTTCAGTCAGTAAATCATTATACTTCCATGCTACTGTCCTTCCTAGGTGTCTTTGAAATCCATAGTGTGGACTGGTTTGGACTGGTTTTTGTTCTTCCTTTACTGAAAGATAAAAATACAAAATATTTTCAGTGCATGTGTGCCTTTGCAGTCCTGAAGCAGCTCTGTGATCAGACCTGAGCATTCCATCCCCAATGGATCTCAAGGCCACATTTGGTGCTCTCACAGTGTGGGTTCCCCATCCACAGTGGCACTGTTACCAAAAATACCAGACCACTCTGCTTAGCAGCGCTGCTCCCAGGAACTGTACTGAATTGGCCTGGATGGTTTTTATTTATTTCTTTCCAGTTCCCAACCAACCACACCTCTCGTACAGAGCAGTCTTTTCAGAGAAGGACTCAGTTTGACAAGGGCTGGTGGGAACTGAGCAATTCGCTTTTCTGGGGGGAAGCAGAGCACACACACCCCCCTAAATCCATGCCCAAGGTGCAGCCCACCCACCCCAGTGGGTACCACACCCCTGCCCACCCTGGGTACACCAAGGGGTTCGCTGCGCACCCTGCGCCAGCAAGCCACTTCCCTTCAGGGCTGGACCTGACATCTCATGAATTGATGGCACATGAATCAGACTCCTGGCAATGAATGACTGGTAGAAAGCTTCCTTAGGGCTAGTTTTCAGTCAAAACTGTCACGAGTATGTTTTGTGTTTGGTGTTTTTTCAATTAACCAAAAAAAAAATATAAATCTGGTTCGAAAAAATATTTGCTCTATAATAATGCTATTGTTTTTGCTCTCATTTTTCCAGGGAGCCCTGAGGCACACTGAAATTTTATGGCAGTCTTTCCACATGGCTACAACTTCCACAATACACCATCTCCCCTCACTTAGATTGGCAGATGACAGTGCACTCCAGACTACTGAAATAGGAGCCACTTCAGAGGCCATTGAAGCTGCATTTCAGTGAAAATACTTCAATCTCTGGGTAGAATATTTCACACAGATCGTTTGGGGTTTTTTTCCTGATTAAGTAAAAACCAGAGAAGGAAAAGTAGCCCTACATAACTCTGTAAGCTGGAAACCTAAGAGTCCCAACAGTCCTATACATTCAGTTTTACTCATTTCCTGGTGTGCAAATGCAAGCGAGTCTGAGTTGATTTAAAACGTACTTCGAGGGTGCTGAATGCTACAGTAGCTTTCAGTCCCTCCAGACTTACCTCTGAAGTCCTACAAAGTAATGCATTATGTACCTGAGCCCATTGGAGTAATTGGAAAGACTCCCTTTGGCTTCAGTGGACTTTAGATCAGGCCACAATGCTATAAACAAAGCAATTGCAATGAATCAAGTAGTTCCAGCGCTTCCTTCATAAAGAAACGAAGTCACTACTTCCTTCCGGATTATTCCAGCAAAAGCAGGCATAAATTAATGATGAAAGGCTTTGAGTGGAGAGTCCTTGCCACACAGCAGGAGCAATTTCTAAATACCTTGGATAAGACCTTGAGCTGTATCAAATGAGCTTATCTTCAGCAAACCTATGCTGATTTTCACAGCTGGTTCAGGAAACAGATTTTAGTGACAAAGGTAAGATGCAATAAATAGCTTGAGCATAGTGGTGTTTTGACCATCAAATGCAATCATAGAAACTGAGAAATATACCAGGTTGGAATTTAAACTTTCTGCAAGGCATTCAGATGATAATGGAGATGGGTCTTTGAAGCAGTTTCTCCTTGCTTCCCTGGAAGAAATGAAAGGGAGAGCATCTAAGCATGAATGAGCTGATCATTTCTGCTAGCTACAGGGACGAGGTGCTGCTTTGCCTTATTACTACCCTTCAAGAGCCCAATGACAGGCAAAATTAGTCATGACCTTTCAAGCTAGGCATGTCCTGGTTGGCCATGGGTTGTGGCTTTCAGAGGAAAGGTCACCATGTTGTGGAAGCCTAAAAAAGAATGAGAAGTCAGGTTCATGTGGAAAGTTGGGGATCCCTCCTTCCCCAGCAGGACAGAATCCCTTTCCTAAAGTTCTACAGTGTCCAGATGATAAATTCAAGTGATCGCTTCTTCTTTTGATTTGGTTTTTGCCCAAGAGCTGCATATTTGTGTTGAACTAAAATGGTTTGCAAGGCAGGTCATAAGTGGAAATTGAAAATAGATAGGAAAATATTTTTAAAAAACAAAGTTTTGTTTCAAAATATAAAATACCTCATTTTTGGTTATAGTTTTTTTGATCTAAATGATTTTTAAAAATGGTTTCATTTCTTCAATTAAAGGTTTTTATGTAACTCAAAATGGACATTCTGGGAACAAAAATTTAAAAAAAAAACCAACCAAAACAAAAAAGAGAACCCTGTTTTGCATTGAAACCATTTTGTCCTTGATTTTTTAATCATTTCATCTATCAAACTAATCAGGTAACAGAAAAAAGGGAAATCTTCCAAGGTGAATTTCCAATATCTGTGTCATGCAATTTTGAAGTCTTGGAAGTTCAGATGAATTACTTCTGGATGAACTGCTATAGCATCAAAGGCCTGATCAAAGCCCACTGAAGTCAACACTACTTTTTCAATTGATTTCAGTGGGCCATGAATCTCTCGCTGCTTTCCCAGGAGTATTCAAGGGATGAAACTTTTCTCAGAAGAAAAGTCACTGCCAGAAAAGCCACTAACATGTACCATACTTACCAAGAAATCCAGGGACACTATAATAAAGTTTCCAAAATTCAACTGCTATGCAATTGTTAGTGTTATACACATTATTATTTTACTACTCTTTTCTGCTTTGAGCTTCCAACCTTCTGCAGCCCCAGTGGTGAGGTTTATATATAACATTTCATAGTTTTGTATTTGCCTGTCATAAGATAGGTTAGAAAGTGTACATTTTCTTTTTCTTTATAGATAGGTTGGAAAGTGTACATTTTCTTTTTCTTTATAGAAAATGCATAAAATAAAAACACAATCAAGTTTGTTATGCAGACCTTATCATGTCTGTTCTTTATGGCTACTTGTTTCAATGAGGCATGGAACCAAGGAGCTGCAAATATCACTGTACATTCACTCACACAGACAGAAACAGTCTTCACATTTGGAGCGTTTTCTCACCTGAAATAAGTTACTGCAGCTATTGGCAGGAAATACTAAGTGAATACCGTAAGGACAAAATAAAGAGCTAAATATAAGGAGGAATTTTCTTTTTAATTTGTTAAAACAGTGAGATCATATTCCTTTTAATTATTCCTGGTCTTCAAGAGGGAAAGCAGCTTACAAATCTGCTTATTACTCTCGATATTTTATGTAAACAGCATTTATCTATTAAACATATTTCAGTTTAAACTCTTCTGGATTACATTAAGTTGAAAACACTTCCTGAACTAAAGGATAAATGATATGTGAGTGTTTCAGAAACATTAGGTCAGAAACAGAAATATAAATTATATGCTGTCATGTCTTTATGTATCTATATCATATTTTGAGAAAAATGAAAAGTCCAAAGAATTTTAAAGCACGAAGCAAATTATACTGTATTTCAAAGGCTGAAATGTTTCTTTTTTGCATAATAGTACCCCTTCTTGATACCACAGCTATGAATACACATCTATTCATTTTATGCGTCCTCTTTAGCACATACATGATGCACAAAGGATATCACACTAATGTGTGGCCCAAAGCAAGCTTTTGCTTTTAATTTTCAATTTCTGTGCCCCAGGGGTCCATCTGTTGTTTGTATGGTATGTGCAGTGGAACAGGATTAAGCAGCTGCTGGCCCTTAGGTTTGTCCTTGGAACAAATTTTTACTTTAGGTTAGAAAGTGAGTCCTTGGGCTCACCCTGTATGTGTGAGGGACCCTTCTACTAATTCCCACAGCCCAGGTAAATTTACAGGTGGTAATCACAATAAAAGAGGTGAAGTAAAAGTGCTGACAACAGCCCTGACTAACAAGTGGTCTGCAAAGAGACTTTCTTCAGAAACAGGTGGAGTCCCAGCAGTATTCTTTGAGACCTAGAATTATTTCAGCATGTTGTGGAAAAGCCTGAAGGTGAATGTTCAGCTGTGACAGCTGTAAACTACTTGCATTTTAATAGATGAAAAGGCACTTATTTGCATATTTGGGGATAGATGTAAGCAGTCTTTCAGTAGGAATAGCTTGCCAATGGAAATATGAATTCTGCATCATAAAACCACTATGGATTAGTATATTTTACCTTTTATGAAGCATCTGGAAACAGCAAGTCCCAAAAGCCACCAGTATCAACAGCAGCAGTGGTATAGTGGGTATTACAACATAAATTAAATTCGGAATTATACCTATAAGACAAAAGTTCTCATTAATGTCTCCCATGTTGAAATGCTTTTAACCATGTCAGTAAAAATCTGGAGTAAAATAACAGGAATACATTAACTTACACAAAAGAACACATATATTCCTTCTACAGGAAGAGCTCCAAAGAGAACTCAGCAGTATCAAGAATAAAGCAGCACTTGAGTTATATGCAAAACATATCTTAAGGTCTTCAATTCTGATATTTTCTGATTTTGTAATTCAAAATTCAAGTGCTTTAATGGAGTACATTTCACAGCCTAATTTTTTCACAGTCCATTTTAACTGTAGACTCTGTCATCTTTGTATGTGGATTCCCTGCCCATGCAGGACCACAGGAGGAATGAGCCTGGCTCTCATCTTCCCTTTCCCCTTAAAAGACACAAAAAGCCTCTCACTGACTAACGAGGAGAGCTAAAGATGCTGCTCTGCAGGTCCCTGCACAAAAGGAGTGGGAAATGGTACAAGCTGAGACTCTGTCTACAATAGAGGATGGGGTCTGCAACTTCCAGAAGGGTACTGTTTCCCAGTAACTATATGCCCATGTTTTGTACTAGTACACATTTAATGTACCAGTTGTGGAGATGTTCTTACCTATTGTCCTATTTTGAAAATATTTTCCCTAGCAAGAATAAATGTGAATATTAATGTTGTGTTTGAGTTTTAGAGTCTTCGCACAGTTCGTATTAAAAGGAATTATTGATTACAAACCACAGTTCCTCAATATAGTAATTCCTCTGGAGTTACAAATAATGGAAACACCAGTTAGGAAGCTGGCTCCAATACAGACCACCAGTGGGCAAACAAAGCACCCCCTTTCCATAATCCCATGGTGCAATCCTGTAAAATCCAGGGCTGCTCCTGAGACATGTTCAGTTCCTTGAACTAAAGCCAGGCTACAACTCTTCCTGAGCCTCGGGACTCTGTTCAGAAGATGAATTGCTGAATGAAGCAGCCAGGGGCATTGCAGAACCTGGGCAGTAGGTATCCACTTCCCAAATATCAACTGTCATCTCTACTGGGAATCTCAGCAAGGCACTGAACTCCTCTTAGCATGCGGTTTCCCAAAAACACAGGGTACTTGGGGGAGCTATGGACACATTATTTATTCTAAGTTTGGTGAGACAAGGCAATAATTTGTTTCTACAGCAACTAAGAGGACTAAGACTCTTGAAATTTTATTCAAATAAATGTATTTTCAGGGCACTTCCCAGGGAAACAGACTGTTTCTTCCTATTGACAAAAATGGAAAGTGAAATTTTTATCTAATTCCACTGTTAATATTTTTAGCAGAACATTACATTCATGTGAACACATTACCTGTTTCAGTAGCAATAATATGATACTGATCTTCTGGTTTGCTTGTGTCATAAGGATTTCCTGCTGGCACTGTTGGAAAAATATCTGAAAAGGAGATCAGACATTTTAGGAAAAGAGTAAAAAATATGGCCATTACATTGTTATATAAATTAATAGTAATTGCATTTTAATTTATATTGGTAAAATGCATATATTTATGATTCATTAAATATATATGTAAACAGGATTTTATTACAAAATTGGAATTGTATCTGGAAGAAGAATTACAAGCAGTGTTATTCAGAACAACAGCCATATATTTGTAGCTGTTGCTCTCTGAAGAATTCATTTTCCCTATGTTCCAGTTCTTAACTGTGCCTGTTAAACTTGAGTGGTTTTGGAGGCTCTTGAATAGTATCCTCATAATTATGTATTTACCAGCGTAACGGAATTTAATGTGTCAAAATTTCTTACCGTATTCTGGCTCTGTTCTGTCTCCTAATTCTTTTTCTAAGACATTATCTGTTAAATCAATATTTGAAATTGATTGTTGAAGAATGAAAAATGTGTGCAATAAAACAGATGTTTCCATTTTTTTCATGCAGTATCACAGAAATATTCCCCCAAACAATAATTGCTTAGTTCTTCAGCATTTCATCTTCTTAACCAAAGACACTTTGCAGACTAGTGTCAAATTACCCCTAGTTCATACTTTTTGCTCCTTAGAAGAATACTATAATTTAATCTAATTTCAATTCTGAATAAAGTGCCACACATATCCAAAGCTTCATTTGTGCAGGCAGTTCTAAAACAATATATGAAGTTCTCTCTACCATAACGTTATACTAACTTAACAGTGCTATGAGACTACAGTTCTGAGTGTCTTGAGACAAATACAAACCACTAGGAGAAATCAAAACAGCAATAAAGCCTACTAGATAAAGGCAATTATTTCACCTACTCTGGTAAAAAATAGCTACATTTGGCCTTATATAAAGAAAGACACCAAGATACCCCAAAGAGCTGAGCTGCTGTCTCTTGACAGCAGAAGAGTTTTTAATTTGATTGCATAATCAAACCTACAGGAGCTGGACAGGAACTAAATGTGGTCACAATTACCAACCTATAATTAAATTTAAGATTGCTGAATGATCAATATGATCCAAAGCCAGACTGAACAACAGTAAACGCTGTCAAGGGAGGGCTTGGAAAAATAAAAGTGTCTACCAGAAATGTAGTTGCTGCTTGAGCAAGGCTGTCTAATGAGCACTGTCCTGGACCTGCTGATGATGCAATTAGATGCAACTTTATCAAAGTCACCTACAACCTGTTTTGGCCTGTGGCTGGTATCATGCACCCTATATTGAACACAGACAGGAGAGTTGTGAAAAACAACATACTCGGATAACAAATTGAAATTCAATATGCATGTGGCACTTCGGCACTCCTGGTGAAATGGATGTATTTTGCACTGCTAAGAGATGACACTGAAGCCTTTACAGTGATTTGAGGGGGAAAAAAGGTCGTTTGTAAGTCTCACTTGGTTTGAGATAATAAATGTAGTTTTCCTACAAACATTGTGTTACTTTCTTCAGGCAGTGAAAGAAATGTCATATATCTATTTATATACATTTTTGCATCTACTCCTTTCCTCCATGTGACAGGAAAATACATTTCTACAGAATAGTCTGTTTTGCTAAAGAGCACAATTCCAACAGTTTGAAAAATAAATAGCTACAATTCAGTACTGTATTTAGCTGCATAACAATGCCGATACTAATAATAATCTACCTATACATTGTCTGCCCTATATGGCTCATTATAAAATAATAACCCACTTCTACCTAGAGAAAGAAATATAAATGTATTTTCATTGTTACTGTTATCACCTTGTTTTCTGAAAATCCAAAACACCCAACATTTTCTCAGATGGTAAAAGCAATAGAAAAAGCAATTCTTTATCACATCTCAACAAGAATGATTAGTTCACTAGTATAGAATAATTATCTAATTTAAATTTGTTTCCTTTTAAAGCTACAAAATACACTTAAAACCAAATTTTTTAATAAAGATTTCAATTTCTGACATAAAAATGTGGGGCTTTTAACCACGTTTTTATTTAGCTACCCTATTTCAAAATAATTTGAACAGTTCTAAAAGTGATAAAATTGTCACATTTCCTTGAAAGGCTATAATGATTACTAATCATCATAAAGTAGTGATAACCACTAACAATTTCAAAAGCAGGAGCAGATATTGGGGGTGACAGCATGCCAAAACATATTGGTATATCAACTCTTCCAAATATTTCATATTTGCTGGCAATATTAATTAGCATTAATATCCTCATTAAGTGACCAAAAAGTGAAAAATATATGTATCCACCAAAACCAGAGGAACAAAATAGTCTGGATCGCTACAGACAGACAGATCTCTACAAACAGAGCAATTATTTTTTTATCATCAGCATAGAGAAAGAAGGTAGGAAACTGCAGAATTATATAGTTCAAACAGCTGCTAAGAGTAAGATTTCATAGAATCATAGAATGGTTTAGGTTGGAAGGAATCTTAAATTATAGCCTTTTTCTAACCCACTGTTCCCACCATGGGCAGGAACACCTTGCAGTAGACCAGACTGCTCAGAGTCCCATCCAACCTGGCCTTGAACATTCCCAGGGAGGGGGCATCTACAAATTCACTGGGCAACCTGCGCCAGTTGGTATTTACTCCCGTAAATAATCTCTCTCCATCTTTCCTGTGATCTCCCTTCAGGCACTGGAAGGCCACAATTAGGTCACCCCAAAGCCTTCTCTTTCCCAGGCTGAACAACCCCAACTCTTCTCAGCCTTTCCTCACAGCAGAGCTGCTCCATCCCTCTGATCACCTTGGTGCCTCCCCTTGCCTGGCTCCAGCAGCTCCCTGTCCTTGCTGTGCCGGAAGCCCAGAGCTGGATACAGCCCTGCAGGTGGGGTCTCAGCAGAGCAGGGCAGAAGGGCAGAATCCCCTCCCTGCCCTGCTGCCCACGGGGCTTTGGATGAGCCCAGCACACGGGGGGTTTGGGCTCCCAATGGCCAGGGCATGTCCAGCCCCTCACCCACCAGCACCCCCAGGTCCTGCCCAGGGCTGCTCTGGATCTGTCCATCCCCAGCCTGGGCTGGTACTGGGAGATGCCCTGACCCAGATGCAGCACCTTGGACTTGGTCTGTTAAACCTAAGAGATTCCCATGGGCCACTTCTTGAGTTTTTATTAATTAATAAATGAAATAAATCCATAATTTCATATTTATTCTGACTTTTAGCTTAGTTTTGAAAAACAGACACCCCAAAAATTATTAAAAACACTGCCATGATCCTGCTGGAAAACACGTTTTCATTTACTTTAAGTACTACCAAGAATAGAAAATTGTATAGGCTCAAGCTGCAAAGTTTACTTTTTACGTCCTTTCTGGTTTTGCACCCTGTTCACTTTTCCTCTATTGACATATACAGAACTTATGTCATGTCTGAAAGTACAGCCAAATTGCCTAAGATCTGTTTTTTCTGTCACCATCTCAACTAGCATGCATCTGCTTTTCATATCTCTCTAAGTCTACATGCATGAATGCAGAAATGTTTCCTGCCTTTCTGGACTTCATTCTTCAAGCCATAACTTTTTTAAACAACCACCACATGTAAGTTTGTATAAAATGGCAGGGCTGCAACTGCGAGGACAGTGCAATATTTTTTACAGGAGGACCAAGATGTCTTGGTCACCCTACCTAGAAAGTAGAAAATGTACACTTAAAACGCTTTGTGAGGTAAGGGAATTAATTAAATCAAAAAAAAACCCCTGGGAATGCATGATAGTGAAGCTAACGTTGAAATCATTCTTATTAGATATAAACAGGTTTATTTAAATGTATTAAAATGGATTTTAATAGTTGTTATTGACATATAACATCCCCTGTTAATGACAGCTCAGGCACACACCAAAGGAACCAGTACCACAGGCCAGAAGATATTTGAAGATTCCCTCACAAACAAGACAATGTCCCAGAAGTAAAATATAACTTCAGGTTTACCTACCTGGGGCATATTTGCAGATAAAATTGTGCTTCATGTTGCATCTGTCATCATTCCATTGATAAAGGTATGGCCCTCCCAGGCCAGGGTTTGCAGTTGGCTGGTGATACATCACCACACAGGCTTCGCTTCCACAGGAAGGCTCATCTGTGTACCAATTTCTAGTTTTTGAAGATAAGGTTCATCAGGATGACAAAGAAAAGAGTTTGTATCAAGGAAGAAATATAAACCCAAACAATCACATCCTCTTCAAAGACATCCTGCATTTCCCACAACCCTTCTGTGAAAGGGCCAAGCTGCACATCTCTGAATCCTAAAACAATTCTGATCAAAGCACCCCTGCAGAAACAACACCCTACTGCTCTGCTTTTCTCCCTGTTAGACTCTTATCTGTCCCCTTGTCTTGAGTTCTTAGAGTAGCTGCTACGCTGGCCTTTGGCTTCATCATGAAGTTAAAGGTTTTTCAAAAAGGGTAGAAACAGAACAACTTATGCTAAGTATCTCACAATAATTTATTTGGTGGCTGGCACTCTGATTTGAGGTAGCCAGAGCCTTGCAGAATTTACCCATCTGCTCTCAGACCACAACCAAAAGACTCTGTGTGTGGCAGACCAACCTCCAGACGCCATGCAGAGGCAACCTCAGTGTGTGGGAGCACAGAAATTTGTAGGCTGAAGCCACACAATGCCATCCTGTCACAGCTTCAAATTCAAAATCCCGATTGCCAGCCACCCTTCATCTGGAGAAGCCAAGGGGGAGGTGCCACAAACTTCCTGCCCTCAAGCAAAGGTTTGGCATTTCAGGCTCACTTCCTTTCCTTGGAACCTTCTCAATGAGCAGTTTCACACACTTACCTGAATGGTGACATACTTCCATCAGCCCACTGGTAGAGGTCGGGGCAAGCACTCGACGTGGCCAGTCCATCGCCACTTCTCCACAGCCCAATCCAGAAATCACCATCAGAAATTCCAGAGCCCGATCTGGTGAGGTTTTGCAGCATGTTTTCTATTAGCTGCTGCTCAGCTTCACTTTCCAAGCTCAGTAAAGCCCCACCATCGATTTCACAAGCCTGGCGGGCCTCCTGGAAGCCCACGCGTCTAGACAAGTCCTGGAAATAAGCTAGTTTGTAACAGGAATGCTTGAAGGCACCATAGCACACCTTCTGGCCTGAAAAACAAAACATGAGGCTGTTCAGAGTACAGTGATGAATATCAAAGCTGCAAGAAAAGAATACAGCACATCATGCATATGCTGATAAAGGACGGGAGATTTTTGCCTGGGAGGATTCATGGCGATAACCTAGCACCACTGAAATCCTTTGCCCTAATTTAAATTTCAAACAGCACACAGTTCATGGGAATCTATGCCATCTTGCCATGGCCTGTGAAACTCTTCAAAACACTGAAGATTCCCAATAGGTTCTAGAAAAATATTCTTTACTTTATAATGACTGCACCATCAGGCCTGTCTGTTATAGCCAGGATCTTTGGAGCATACTTCCTTGACTATTGAATACTAATGGACCAACTTCACTTTTACTGTGTAATCAGAGCTATTCAATTTTTTTTTTAAGTTTCAACTACACATGTTTAGTGGCAAGAAGCAGCTGAAATTTTTATTCGATCCCTTAAGTTAACCTTTAGAGGCTGTATATGAGAGCAACTCATAGCCCCTCTTCACTACAATGTGCCTAAGCACAACCTGTAAAGGTCTGTGGGAGGAGAGAGTGTGCTCCTTACAGTTCTTTGTCAGAGAAGAATACATGTCTGTTTCCTAAAAAGGAAAAATAATTATCATTTTCAACTACTAAGACTCTCTAGAGTTTATTCAAGATATACAAGATGAGGAATTAACACACTCACTTATCAGCCACAACTGAACTCCAGTATGTTTATTTAGAGACAGAATAAGGATTCTAAATAGAACCATCTCTTAAAAAAAATAAAATCAACTTTTTCCAGTATAGAAATTTATCACTGGAGAAGAAAAGTAGGAAAATTTATTTTGTTAAGTAAGAATGACTGAAGGAGACCAAAGTAACAAAAAACTACCAGGCTTTATCTAGACTGTTTAGAAATCAAAAAAGTCATTATTTTACTGGAAAATTTCACAATCATACAACATGCTGAGCTAGAAGGGACCATTGAGGACCATGGAGTCCAACTCCCATCTCTGTGAAAAACAGCCCAAGAGTCACACCATGTGCCTGAGAGCGTTGTCCAAAAGCTTCCTGAGCTCTGTCAGGTTTGGTGCTGTGACTGTTTCCCTGGGAGCCTGTTCCAGTGCCCAGCCACTCCCTGGGTGAAGAACCTTTTCCTGATATCCAACCTAAACCTTCCTGACACAGCTTCAGGTCATTCCCTTGAGTCCTGTCACTGATCACCAGAGGGAAGAGATCAGTGTCTGCCCCTCCCCACGGTGAGGATGTTGAAAACCAAAATGAAGTCTCCCCTCAGTCTCCTCCAGGCGGAACAGACCAAGTGACCTGAGTGGGTCCTCACACAGCTTCCCCTCAAAGCCCTTCACCACCTTCACAACCTTCCTTTGGGCACTCTTTAAGGGCTTTATATTCTTCTTATATTGAGGCACCCAAAACTGCTCACAGCACTTGAGGAAAAGCCACACAAGCACAAAGTACAGTAGTTTATTGCATTATATCAGATTTGCATTTGAAAATCTTGTATTTAGTCTCACTTTTAGGCAAACCCAGATACATGACTCATGTAAACAACATTTGAACATGATTTATCCTGTTTCACCTTAAAGAAATTGCAATTTGTCACTGGGAAACAGCAACATCCTCACATAACTTCAGCTATATTTATGTTTTCCCAGGCAATGTTTTCCTGTGCACAAAGAGTAAATATCAAAGTAACCAAAAAACCTTAAAAGCTACATAAAGTTCATTCTTTTTGCATTAAAATTGCTTCATTTTTGTATTTAATAAGTAGGATACTTCCAATAGCAGACAGCACAAGGGCTGAGTCAAAGATATCTCTGTATTTGCACAGAGCATAGTTTCAAGTATTTGCAGAGAATAAGCAGGTTGTACCAAAGATGCATTAATACAGGGATGGAAAAACAGGATCAGCTCTTGACTTTTCACTAAATCTGAAAGTAAATAATTTTTTTGGGATCATTTCTGTTGTAGAAAGCTAAATTATAGGGGCAGTAGAGATATACTATGCTTAACTTTCTAGGGTTTCCTACAAATCTTGTCATCTTTCTAGAAAAAGAAAAAACAACAAACTCTAAAACCTTCACTTTATAATACCCTATTAAAGTTCATCTGGAGGACTATAAGGAAGAAAAGCATCTTTTTAATCTCATTCTTACCTTGGCAGACAGACGTCTGAAAATTTAGTTGTTTATCAGTAATTAATCTACCAAAATAACATAGGAAAAAGAACAGTCTAAAAAAAAGATGGGCCTGTGCCACAGATATGGAAAAAACCAGGCTCCGAGATCAGGCAGAAAGTGCCAATTTTGACTTTCTCTGGTAATGTCCTGACAACACAACGTATGCCCCAATTTCTTTCCTGACATTTCTTTTTACTCACATAGGTTAGGAGCCTTGCTCCCAGTAAATGTAGCAAGGGCCATAGTCCTAGCTGGGCAGTGGTACTGAAGAAGCAAGGGACAGACCCTTTAACAGAGATGCATTTGAAATAATGGGCTTCCCCCTAGACTTCTTGGACAAAAATAACTATCAAAGTAACAAAGTGATAAGTCTAAATGTTGCAAATTGGGAAGTGCAACAATGAAAGCCGCATGTGAAATCCCAGCTCATTCCCTCTCTCTACAATGCTGAAATTCCAGTTTTGCTAACATCAATCGATTTTCCCCAGGAGCTATGTCTCCCTAACAGCACAGAGTGCACAGGGAAGGAGGAGCTGACCAACATTTTGGCCCTCACTGCTGGGTGAGTGACAATGGCTTATTGCCAGAGTACACATGTGTACATAACAGCACAAACATCCAAAGCCTAGTACTGAATTATGCAGGACACTAATCACTTCCAAGGAAAAGCGACCACACCTTTCCCTGTAGCTGAAGATTGGATTCAAAGCATTAATTCAAGATGCACATGCAATTTAGGAAGAGTGCTTTGTCCATTGTCTTGTTCTTTTTCTTTTCCCAGACAATCTTTGAAATAAACTCTTCCATGATTCCTTTCATTCTGTGCACATACTTCTCCTTGATATCAAGTGATAAGTTATGAGCAAATTCAGGTGTCAAAATATCCTGGTCACAGTTTCAGTCATGCAGGAATGTTCAACCAACTGTGATGAGCAGGCTGATAACAATGGTTCATAATTCCTGTGCTGTTCCTCCCTCTCATGGGAAAATAACTAACTTTGCCTTTATAACACACATTCCACTCCCCATCCCTGCATGTTTCTTAGGTGGCTGAAGTGCTCCCCTCACACTCTCTTCTCATGCACAAACTCTGCTTTTCTGTGACTCTCCCAAAAAATCTGAGTCAAATCTTGCAAAGAAATTGATCTTTGCTGGCTGCCTAACTGAGCTTTCTCAGGATGCTCATCTGCCAGTCAGCTGCTGCATGGAGACTCAAGCAAAATCATAGAACCCTTTAGGCTGGCAAAGACCTTGGAGATCATTGAGTCATGGCAAGAGCCGTTTCTGACCTGCTCCAAGGCTTGTATCCATAAACTGCGCTATGTTCTTGTCCAACACAGGGACTGCATCAATGCTCAGCTCCATCACCCACACCAAGGAAACCAGGTGGGACTGTATGGAGCAGTACAGAGGATGACAAGTATTTGTGATGCACAAAGGCAAAGAGCTACTGCAGCACCTAATATGTGCCCAGCTTGCTACTATTGTGCACTCAACGCAGGGAGCCCTCTCACAGGCATCAGAATACAGATGGCTGTATCCAACTTCTATCCAAAGGTTTGCAAGTTAAAAACTTGAAATTTTGTGGAAGATATTTTCTTTCTTCCCTTAAACTGACCAGAATAATTTTTAAAGACACCATTTTTGTTGCAGGTGTTTGGGCAGGGTTAAGTAACCCTAAAATCAAGTTTTACAAAGTAAAAGAACTGAAAAAAATGAAAATTTGAATGAAATCCAACTCCTAAATTACTGGTCTTTCATTTTTTGCACTCTCTCTACCTGTGGCAAGAGAAATAATTTCCTCCTCACAGGCTGATCATTTCTGCAAGAATATACCTCGAGAAACCAACAGAGAAAACAGCAAGAAACAAAGAAATAATTGGCATTAAGACCCATAGACCCAAAGAGTGTGAATGAAGTGTGTGAGGCAGAGCACTAAGCTTTCTGGAAGAAGCTGTGAATTTCTCTTGTTCTAGTTAATTTAATCCCTGTGTTTAGGCAGTGACCTACTCTGAATCTTTTCTTTCTTCTTTTGAAGCGGACTTTGAACCAGTTCCACTACGGCAGACAAATGTGTTAATGGAAATCTGCAGTTGTGCCTTAATAGCTGGCAAATCAGTTGACATTTTAGTGCTCTTCTCGGAACACACTGAGATGTCAGGTTTTAAAGCTTCATTTTTTTCTCTCACTACTAATTTCTGAACTACAAAGCAGAAATAATTTACCACTGAAAAATGAAAGAATGGACCACATTGTACAGGAGAAAGATAAGTATGGAAATATCAACTATGTGCTACTTTACCTCATTCTAACATCTTTCAGCAGACTCCACAGTTAGTTCTAAAGCAACATTTTGTTATTTCAGCTGTATAAATTGAGTTCCAATTTTTCTGTGACAATTGAATAGAAACTAGATTTGTAAGCAAGACTGTTGGAATGAATCATGCTAAGATACTACACAACATGAATAATCTTTTATTGGTCTCATCATCCCATTAGCTGATGAAAGCAAGTGAACAGGATTTGCTCCAGGAAGTGCTAGCTACCATTTCCATCCATATGGGTCAGTTTTCATCTTTGGGTGTTTCACAGAGGCTCCAAAGTAGAATGTTTAGACATCAGCCTCAGAAAAAATATCTTTTTAAACTAAATTACTCATTAAAATATTTCTGCAGATAATTGTACAGGGGGAGGGAAAAAAAAAAATCTCCTCCAAGAAAAAAAAAACAAAAAAACAAAAAAAACCAAAAAAAAAAAAAAATTTCAAGCTATTATTTCAAACAGCTATATCTCCATTATGTTTTAAT